ACACATAACGGTCTGATGCAGAAGCAGATTATTTCACAGGATAAAGTCAGTCAGACCTGGTCCATGTGTCACTTTTTCCCATAGGCAAGCCTGAGCAGTCACCAGTTCCTATTCAATGCCCAGCTGCATCCTGACAAACTGCCGTGCATCTGCCTACGTCATGATGTGGATGGGTTGCTATGGCAACCAGGCATGGGAGCCGATGGGCAGCGCAGCGCACCCTGGTGCCACGCAGCCACCTTCAATGCCCTTGGCTACGTTCAGGCCTCCAAGCGGGACCGCAAGTACTCCTGCTGCCCGCCCGGCTGCTCCTACGCCGTGGTGTGCGACTGCATCCGGCACCTGTATGTCTACCGGCAGCCCGCCCCCATCTTGTCTCCCCTCAGGAATAGGAAGAGCGGGCGAGTGGTCAGCCAGATTGCCAAGCAGCAACTTGTCAGTCTAGAATCAACCGATGACATCTTGGGCGTGGCTGCCGCTGATGACAGACTCTTTGTGTTGACTAACAACAAATTGTATGTAATCAGAGTAGACCAGCAGTGAAATGAACGCACATAATTCTTGCAGAGAAAGTAAAACAAATCTCCGTCATAGACTTCTTCATTGACCAAAAAAACCCATATATCTCCCTTTTCAGAGCCTTGGGAAAGCTTACAGTGGTTGTAAATAACCGTGTTTAATAGCAGCCTGATACAAAAACCTATGAAATAAACATGTTCAATCCAAGGAAAGTCCCTGGCCTTGCTAGTGAGACAGACAGTGACTAAGATACAACATCGCTGTCCAAACCTGGGTCTGAGTGACGAACAACTTATTCGGCAGAATACAGTGAGCAAAGCATCATTGTGGGCATCTCTGCCTGGCTTGCTGACATTGCATCATTTCTTTCCAAGTACACATTATACAATGACAAACTGTGTCCAAAGGTTGTAGATCACCTACGTGTGGTGCTCGTGTACACTGCCCCCCCCCCTTTTATTGTACAGAATGCTCCGCCCATATTGATCCCAATAAAATTGGATGGAGTGGCATATCCAACTTCTCGGCAGTCTCAAGTCTATGGGTTATCTTTCTTGAGTAGTCCTCCAAGACATCTGTGCTAGTAAGCAGGAAGAGACATTAACCCTAACCCTCCTCAATCCTTCACCTGTTGGAGGACTGAGGAGTGTAAGGATTAAATCCTGCCTGAACATTTACATACAGTACATGCAACAAGCTGGGTCCATATTCTTCCCCTTTATATCACAATTTATCTATAAAGTGACATTTTGGGGGGATTCTTAGATTAAGACAGTCTCTGTGCCCACATGTGATGAGGTTTTTATCAGAGGGCAGGTTTGAGCTCGCCCGAGCGGTGGATAGTTAGGACCACCTTGTCAATGCAACCTGGCTCTAGTGCATGATCGCATCAATGGTTAATACGCGTAGCTGATATCAATTATCAGTAAGGAGCGAACCATTCACGTAATAATAACGGCCCGAGATGTCACCGACCATGAATGCAGCAAGAGCTGCGGTTGCGGCCAATGGAAAAATGCCAGTGACGGTGAGAGTTTACAAAATCATTTTTAAACCGGTCTTCCGGGTGTGATTGTAGTGTGTGCGCGCATACATGAAGTAACTGACCACAGGTAGAACTACTGTTTGTGCCTGGACTTGCCCGTAGATAAAGTTCACGAGTGCATATGTTTCCTTGGATGCCAACTATAAAACTGGATCTTTGGTGCGCAATGCCTTCTTCTTGAGTGCTGCACCCTTTGGCTTCAGCTTGTGTTGGTCTATTTCCTGTTGCCTCCTCTGCTCCGCGGTCTGTGCGTCCTTCTCCTTCTGGATGGCAGCCATCATCTCTGAAGCCAGTCTGTCGATGCGTTCCTAGTGCGGGACAACACAAAATGGCTGATGGTGTACATTTCTTCAGCACTTGCAATTTTCTTCAATTTGGGAAAGACAACGTGTCCTTTAGAAGAGTGCTCCTGTCCTTTTCGATCATAACTTAGGAATGGACGACTGGCTAACTGATGGACAATGCAAAGAAGTCCTTGATATGGGTTGGGGAAATACTTGAGGAGTTTTGCTTTTGTGGGTAAGGGTTGAAGTGATGCTGGAATGTAGGGGCTAGAGTTAGGGTTAGGTCGGAGTAACGCAAGGAGTTAGGACTTGGGATTGGGGTTTAGGGTAAGGATAAAAACTAGATAGCTAGGGCTTAGCTGGAGGTTAGGATCACAGTAAGGTGAGAGCTGGGTTAGGGCACTGTTAACTTACTGCAATTTGTCTCTGTTCCTGCTGTCGCGTATACTGTCCTGATCCCATTGGTGCTGGTCGCCCATCTAATCATCAATGTTACAGAAAAATCTAATAAAAGCAAACCTTCAGTGTAGAATGTATTTGCTTTAATAGTGTGAGGATGGTTTTGATATGGTGATGTCCCATACTTTACAACAACCGAATAGCTTGAAACTGTGCTAATTATAAACTTCTAGATCTATTTTCAAAACTAAGGCACATACTGACCTGCATATTCCCAATCTGGAAGATCAACAAGTGGGCCATACTCGTATCCCGACTGAGACTGACCTTGGCTGTATATACAGAACAATGTTTCAAGATATCAGTCTAAGGTTATCTGTTAGTCTCAGCTTTGGATGAAATATTGGAGGTGGAATTTGTCACCATGAGACAAAGGACGCCCATTTCGTTCGAGACTCCTATCCTTTTTAGGACTTTGTTGATAATAAATCAGTATTAACAAATTTCTTCAACCGTGTCCAAGTTTTGTGGCTCACAACTGACAGAATTTATCAAAAATATGTCAATGTGGCATTCCATCCACTGCACAAACAAAAACTACATACGGCCAGCATGCCTTGGCAGTACATATGACCTTGAAATTCTATGGCACACACTTGCATAATATACTCGTAGTTTGGTTGGCCCAACTATAGTTGGGATTGTCTCAACTATCCACCTGCAGTTGAAGCGCGCCCTCAAGGGCAAACGAGAGACAGGCTGGTAGGAAGTTTCCCACTGGGGCTCATGCATGCACTCCCTGCAGGCATGTCCATTCCAACATAAACTGCTCACACACGGCATGTTTCGGGCCCAACTTGCATCAACATGCACGCACATGAGGTGAGATTCCACCAAAGAACCGTCATTGGTACTTAAAAATAAGCCCTCTATAATAATATTATTTCTGCTTGGAGTGGATAGTTGGGACATATGCTACAGTTGGAGTGTCACAGAGACAAAATGATCACCGACCTCTCTCTCCACTTCTTTCCAGCCTGTACACACTGACCGGTCCTCAGACATCTATACTTGGTTAACACTGAGGGAACCCTTGAAGAGTTCATTGCAGTGGCTGTGTGGCACTTACAAATCACTCCTGGAAAACAATAATAGAAACTCAAAGCACACCGAGGGAACAAAACGTTGTGCTATGAACATGTTAAAATCGTCATCTTCAGGACAAATCAGACATACACTAAGTCACATGCGATGTATCTGATTCAGTCACTCAGCCCTAATGCCCACAACATTCGGGAGAGTCCCAAAGTTTCCAATGTCATGAGCATCACGGCTGGAGTTACTCAAGCTACACTTGATTGAGAGTTCTTTCTGAAATTTGACAGTAGCATAGCTCCTATTCCTATACATAAAAATCCTCTATTTACATGTAAATGTACTTGACTTTATGGACAGTACTGTTGCTAGTGCCTCAAATATTTACAGATGAAGTCAATATTGACCTAAATAACTTTACTCACTTAGTCTCGCCAATGCAGCCATACTGCTGTTATTTAACACTCGGGGTTGTCTAGGCTGCAAGTGCAAAGTTGAAAAGCTACACACATTAAAAATGAAAGTCACACATCCATACAGAATTTCATGAAAAGGAAAAATCAATAAATTGTTTTGTATGAAGTGTATGCTTGGGCGATATACATCGGGGGCTCTTGCTCCTAATGCCATTAATTTCATAGTGACCATTTTCATAGGAAACGGGAAGGACATGATGAAAAGAAGTCCAGAAAGAGTGCAACATATGGACAACACTAATTTTCCCTTAAATTGTTACAACAGCCATCAGAAAATGATAACATGTCCTAATATAAGTAACAATGAAATTTAGCTGAGAAAATTCCAAAGCATTTACTTAAAAACACTTAGCTTCAGACAAGTCTCATACTTTGTGCACAGGCATGACAGGGACATCTAAGTGTTGTCCATATCTATATCGTTGAGATAGCAATATGTCATCTTCTGACACATCCTGCTAACTTATAACGTTAGAGTGGAGTGTGGAGAGGCTATAAGAGACTCTTTCCCTCCTTGATCCTTCACGTCCTTTTTAAAGACTTTTACCCCAGGTACTGAACACCCTCTTGTAGCAAAATCCCGTAGGCTCCCCTCCCCATTTCTGAAACTTGATCATGATCCATTCACACTGACGTTAGGCCGGCCATGCCGGGCCCATGGAAGGAAGACATAGGCCCTACATGACACAGGCCCTTGGCCCTAGCCTAGCTTACTTCCAGAACTGTTTTAGTCAAGTCCTTACAGCTCTGGAAGTAAGCCAAGGCCCTGGCGTAGTTATGCTTGGCCATAGTACTAGTAATAGGTCTACATGTAATATGTAGGCCCTAGTCAGTCGAACCCATGGTCGAACTAAGCTAAGTTGGACTCCAACGCCACTGGCAGACGGAGTATTCATCATTCCAGGCCATCCATTGCCACTTTTAAATGGCACTGGATGTCCAGTCTCTATATAATAAGGCGGCAATTTTCCGTAGACATTATACAAGATAATGATAGATAATGTCGGGCCTGCGTAGCCTACCTGAAACAAGCGACTCACACGCATGCATGGGCGCTGACATCTTGAAAGAGCGCCCTCAAGAAGCTCAGCAAGAAAGGCTCTTGTGCCGCGAAAGATAGGGCGCCTTAACTATTATTAAAGCGCGCAATTAAGCACAGGCTTTAATTGAGTGATTTTTCTTCATTCTTATGAGATCAAGAACGTTTAAAGTTGAAGCAAGAAACAACTAGGCCTACCCGAAATAAAACAGCAAACTAAGTGAGTATAGCCAGCCTACAGCTGGGCCTAGGCATCAAGTTAACGTTACCGGTCATGCCACCTATTGCCGGTTAAACGTTACGCAGTCGTCGTTACTGTCGTGGTCATTATATGGGGGGGGGTGTCTTGATTGTCAGATTCAGCAGTGAAGAAATTGAGGTATAATTCATTTAGAAAAGACCTACAACTTGTCAGACCAGTCTCATTGGGTTTGTGTACAGGATGTCAAGCGGCGTCAGTTGGCCATCATGGCATTTTTTCGAAAAGTTTTCAAGTCTTCAAATGATAACGATAGGCATGATAATGATGATTGGCCTAGGGCCTAAACAAAAAATCGAGTGAACTACTGTACTGAACTAGGCCTAGGAAAGAAGGAGTTCCACTTCACATACTACTACTAGTATGAGCATGGAGCTATGAGACTTGCCTGGAAAAAAACCAAGTGTTTTCTAAGTAGGGCCTACATGTAAATGCTTGGGAATTTTCCGAGCTAAATTTCATTTTTAGGACATGTTATCACTTTCTAATAAGGGAATAAATATGTGTTTGGCCGGTCTTAAATGTTTAAACATGCACCAGCTCAGGAGACTGGACGTGACAAATGCCCCCCGAACTACAGGCAAGGGCATTAGCCTATCAGCATTTGTTCTCCTGTGCAAGACCGGCCAAGCATTTATTTATTCCCGTTCATAAATACCTTTTTATTCAGAGAGTCAAAAGAAGTCACTGTATGATTTCCAGTGATTTTTGTTCTAAATTTTACTTTCATTTTTCTGATAACCACCATCCATTTTATGGTATATTCCTTTTGAAAATTGTTCAATAGAATTCCCTTCAATGAACTTGGTGTGCACGTGGCGCGTCGCATGCACACAGACTCCTGTTCAATCAGACCCGATTAAACTCACGCCCAGGTGCCAGCAGGCATTATCAAATGTTAATACACGGTCGCTTGACGCGTTTCGACCAATAGGAATAGAAAAACTGTCCCAGGTATTTGTAAATGGCTGTTACAACATTTTAAGGGAAAATTAGTGTTGTCTGTATATGGAACTCTTTCCCGTTCTAGTATTTGGCAATACGATTTGTCAGAAAGACTTTAAGGAATTAGGACTCTTACTGTATTGAGTTATATTTTTCTCAGTAGGCCTAGCCATTTAGTAAAAAAACAGCGTACATAATTATTTGGTCATGATTGGGTTTCTTTTACTCTTCCAGCACCAATGCAGCATGGATGTGGCTGACAGAGCTATTGGGTTAAAGAACATTCTGAAGAAATGGGAGAAAGCTTTCCAAGAAACCCACGACAGGAAGCCGAGCCGATCAGATGTCAAAGGAGCACCTCAGAGAATTCAAGGTAGGCCTAACGGTTCAACAGTTAAAGTTGATGGCTGAATGCTCCTAGGAAGTCAATTAAAAAATGCATTCACACATTTTATTGTTTTTATAACTAGAACCAGTCTCCAGCAATGAGGTGTCAAATTTTATGATTCATAGACCAGAGATTGATTCAACTTCATTTTGATCAGCTTTTTCAATTTGGCCCATTCTGTGAAAATGAATTATCTGGCAATTTTTAGACTAATTTTGGTTCAATTTGCAAGAGAAAGATCAAACCAAGCTGTTTGTGTGGATATCACTCATTTTAACATCCTGCTGATGAATTATTTTGATGGATCCTACAGAGTGCTTGCACAGGGTGCCATCATGGAGGGCAGTTGTCATATAAATTCAGTGACAGTAGGCTTCCCTCCATTGTGGTGCACCATGTAAGGACTCGATTAATTTCCGCAATGTGAGATCCTTTCAAAGTCCTGTAACTCAACTATAGTAGCCCTGTCAACTTGTGCTGTAAGTCATTTACAGCATGCAGGTCCCAATTTCATGGCGCTGCTAAGTACGTGTACACAATTTTACGCTAACCGAGTGACCGCGTCTTTCACTTAGTGACCTAACAATAGAAATCTCCATGGGTTCCCTTGCGAATTTTGCACTAAGCACAGCAACTGAAATGTTTGCCGTGAATACGCTTACCATTGTTTGTAAAATTTTGTGCTGTGGTTAGCAAAAAAGTTGCTTAGTGGTAAGCAGTGCTGTGAAAATGGGCCCAGTTCTTAACTGTTGTTGAAAAAATATGTCGGGGGTTGTGGTTTCACCTGTAGATGCCTACAGGGAGTACAGTAATTTGAAGAAAACCCCGGAAGGAGCATCAGGGCCAGTGGTCACCGGAAACCAACCAGATAAAATCCCCAGAGGTACATGGGGTACTCATCTCAATCAGTCTTGGGTGAAAATCCCAGACAAGGAAACAAAGACGTCAAAGAGCCATGAACAGGGTACCATCTTACGGCAATACAGTAGGAAGTTGCAGAACGTGGCAGGTGCAGGAAAGGTGAATTTCTAGCAGTTTTTCAGACTTGATCAGCACTCACCAGGGAGTAAAATTTTAGTAGCGCGGCCCCCCTTCTAAACCCTTCATGGACACCAGTGCTTGACTCTCCTTTCCACTAGACCGATGGTGTGTGGAAAGTCTAGGCCACTTAAATTTTCACCCGCCCTTTAGGTGATGAAATTCCCTGGTAACTTCCATTTTAAACAAAATGATGAAGTCCTTACATTGTACATAGGACATGTATTCTAGCAGTCAGGTTTTGCATTTCAGTTCAAAGTTTGAAGCAGACACTTCTGGTATGTTTTGCCTCAGAGAAGGAATTCTAAAGTGATTTCGATTAAGACAGATAAAAATTGGACTGACCATTCAGTGATCTGGTTTCATGAATGACACAGTGTATTGAAACAAGGTTAACACAAATGTAGCGGATGGTTTTGAACACACGCTGTCTTGGTGTACTAGGGATGTATGGGACTTTTTCACGTCCCAGTCTTTGTTCTTGTATTGCATGTGCGTACCATTCACAGTCTTGGAACTCTCGAACAGTGTTCTGAGTTCCCAAATTTTAAACTTAATTCATACAAACAGTCAAATTTTATCAATAGAATGTGCACCTATTTACTACTTTTATTACAAATAGTAATTTTCTGTACTCCACATTCATTTGTCTTTCTGCTTGATTTGACCAAGTGTAAAGGACGAATGCAGTACCTTAACTGAAGGGGTTTGATGGATTTGAAAATTAGTTTCTCTCAAATTGCCGTTACGTACTGTGTTAAAAATCAGCTCAAACTTTGTGTAAAGAATTCCTCATCTGTCAGCAGCTTCCCAAGACTCCTTGCTACAAGAAGCCTGGCTTTGGATCACATGCTTCAAAGCCATCGTCCAAAGTCAATGATGCACTCCAGGCTGAAGACCTAGGCGACGACTCCATCAGCAAGGACGATGCTGTCCAACCGTCGTCAGGGAGCATCTTCAGCTGTCTGCGAGGCAGCAAAGTTTCCCTCACCAGCTCGTCTCAGAAGGCAAGGCTTTGCCGCGACGACATTCCTTTCGGCGTGCTCCATTCCAAACCGTCAAAGAAGCACTCCCTAAAAATGGAATGGCTGGACAGCTGCGAGCTAACCATACGAACTGGAGAGATGAATAAAACTACAGAGGACTGCCCAGGAATGCCACAGGGAGGAGTAAATAACTGCTCAAAAACCACACTAGAGAACCAAGAGAATATCTGGGATTGTGAGGTATCTAGAAATGGGAGCCAGAAACTTGAGGGTAGATCAAAGCCACCAGCAAACACGCATGCATTGGCGTCAGACAGTTCATTGGAAACTGCAGCTTATAAAGGGTACAGCGTTGGTAGTGCCCTTTTATCAAAGGCAATACAGGGCCGTCAGGCTCATGCAGACCCATGTAGTGTGTCAAGAACCGATTCAGTGGTCAGGTTGGAAATGAACAGAAGCGACGACCAAGCTTGCAAACAATCATTTTGTTCCAGAGCTGTTACCAGTGTCCCTCAGAGGAACAATCCAGATGAGGCCATCCCTAGGAAACGCAAAGCTTCATTTGCAGAGGTTGCCATGGAAACTGGAGAACACAAAACCTTCCACAGCAGTGCAACCTGCGGTAAACCAGCAAGTGATATTTCTCCACTCGTAAATGCAACCAACCCGAAAAGATCCGAAAATCAAGCCCACAAAACTCCCAAAGAAACTTCTCAAGACCCAGAGAAAAGCTGTTTGACTGAGGAAAGTAACACTGTGTCAATTTGTGCCCCAAAGACAGTCAATGGAGTTTGACTCCTGACAGAGAAAAACAAACTTCGGTGTCGGGCAAGAACAGCTCAGATAGGTACATAAAAGAGAGCCCAGGTCACTTAGGGAGTTTACAAGCAGTCCATCATCCAGGCACTCAAGAAGGAGAAGGGTATGTATTTAGGGAAGAGCAACAGTATTATCACCAACTTGAAGTGCACGCAGACTCAGAATTGGATGGTACAAGCAAAGGAAAGAAGAGTGCACGGTCTAAGAAAATGGCTTCATCTGACTCCAGGTAAATATGAGATAAATGAAGAGTATCAAAGTAAGGCTGCATCCGAATCACTTGGCTTTGGCTTGAAATTACACAAGACTCTAAGGGGAATAGTCACAGCCACTACCATAGACTCGTGCATGACTTCTAGCCACAGCCAAGTAATTTGAACATGGCCAAAATCTTTCTTTTCCGCCGAAAGATGTTAGCACAAAACACAATGAGAAATCACATCAGAAAAATCATGCGAGTTTAAAATTCAAAGAATTTAAGCACATCACCGGTACAATTTTATCACGATCAGCGTTTACAGTTGAAGGTACAATTCTTTTATCTCTTAATAGATCCGATGCACTATATATCATTATCAAAACAGACTAGATATTCCTCAAGTAAACATCTCATGTAAGAACCTTTTTGTGATTGTGAAGACGTACAGATCGTATAGTTTCCACTGATCAGTGAAATGGTTGAATACATGTACATCGTTTTGTTAGTACTGTCAACCAGTCGAAGTTGACACATGTAATCTTCGCGATGAAATCCACATCACAGCTATTTTGTGTCAGATTGACCATTACACTAACTTTGCTTTTGAAGTTACCTGGCCTACGGGCACTGAAAAAGATTTGGCATTGTAGGAAAAGGGCGTATGTGAAATAACTCTGCATTGGCTGTGTATTAGACCATAATGTCACATCACCCCAATTACCTGTCTCATTTGTTGACTTTACAGGGCACCGTCTTCATCAGCCCCTGCTCCCAAGCGCTCAAATCTGAACGAGAACTTTGTCAAGCTGGAGATGAAGAAGAAGAGGTACTCCCGTCGGGGGCTGTTCCACCTGAAGGGCGAGGCCTACAAGCGGCAGGTGTGGAAGCAGAAAATGCAAGGGCACAGCAGTTTGGGTCTGAGAGGGCGGGGCGGCTGGAGGGGAGGAGGAAGAGGGGGCGTCGGCCGAGGTAGAGGAAGGGGCGGGTTCAACCCGGCCAACCCAACGGATAAGTGCTTCAAGTGCGGACAGACAGGGCATTGGGCCAGCAGATGTATGGGTACGTTGTTTTTTTTCCGAAAGATGTCCTGGCAAAACCATTCCAAAGTTTCATTCTCTCAGCCCTTTCGATACTTGATCACTGATTTTGAAGACCATTCCTGGCATTTCTCAACTTTGGCTTGTAATTCTTTGTCCATTGTTGTATTTATTTTGTCGAAGTTTTCACTTAGAAATGAATTGATAATAAAAAGAAATGAATTGATGATCATCACCACATGACAGTCTTTTGCAAATCATCACCATGTGATATTCCTTGATTAGCCTACCTGTGTTTGAAGCGCAGAGGACCCAGTAGTAGGGGGCTATTTGATGGGGGTAAATTTAGGAGTCAACACCTAAAAGTGACAGCTGTCGTTCTCTCCTCCATAACTACATGTTTCTTAAAGAAAGTGGTGAACACTTCAACTTGAATATTTATAACAACATTCTGTTCTTTAATTGATATTTTGAATATGAAAAGAGTCATCACCATTTCCACCATAAGTGACAGGGGCTTTGCATTGAGAGATTGTGGCAGGATAAAAATCTAAACCTCACTTCAGTTGGTTAGAGTGAATGTCCACAACCTCCTGCTTAGCACTTTGGCTTCCACACTTCAGAGGACAGTAATTGATTGATTTTTCTGTTCCAGGTTTCCAGCCTGACACTGGAGATGATAAAAAGGTGGAGGTTAAGGAAGAGGACTTTCCCACACTAGAGGAAGCAGCGATGGCTGCCCGTGGCATCAAAACTACTCAAGGTAGGAGCCTGAAACTTCACAACAAAATATTGTAATTCTTTGCATCTCCTTAACAAAGATCCATTGTTTTAGTCAAGTCCAACCATCCAAGTGAATTTCTGGTCAGGTCACAAGTAACAGTGGATGAATATGCACAAAAGAATTTCTTTGTCACATTTGATTTGCATTGCTTTTGTCTTTCTATGTGAATAGCATTGTATGGCTGGTTCACTAAAAACCTCTCTTTACTTCATTGTATGAAAGTTTGAAATGGCCAGGCTTCAGGTTTTTTAATCCTGCATGACTGAGGTGGGATTTTTATGGATATTTCTGTGTTTCAGGATTTTTGTAGCCAAAATTTGTAGTACTCGGAGGTTTTATCATTCAGGTTTTCTGTGTTTTGTAGAAGTATCCTGGTGGCCCACCAAGATTTGCTTGTCTCCCATCATGTTTAAAAATGTTACCACCAAGTTTTTAAATCGGCGCCAAGTTTAACCACTTGCCACCGGGGTTTCCAATACCAGACATGTTTTCTTTATACGCGTGGCCGGGGTCTCTGAAATCAGACAAAGGGAACTGGGCCTGGAAACAAAAGACCGTACTCGGGAAAAAAAGACCAGGCTGCTGGGCATAACCAACATTTTTTCACTCTCAATAGAGGAGATAGTCTAGCCTTGTTTTGAAACAGTATACCATAGGTTTGGGGATTTAGTGTGAGCGGATTACCACCTGGTACAAAAGGCGCTCCACCACCGCAACAATGAGCCCAACAGTGCCGCTGCACGCTAATCTGGCCCCTATTGAAAAGACGTCAGCAGCGCACTGTGCCAGTTTTGTGAACAAAAGAAAATTACTTAACACCGCAAAATCTGGGCTCTTTTTACAAGGCAGCAGGCCTTGCTGAAATACTCAGGCGTCAATCGATGTTGTCTGTCAGATTAGAGTAGAAACCAGACAGTCCTTCATGTGGGTGTAAGTGTCCAGTAAATGAAGATATGAATTTTTAAAGAATTTGAAAACAGAAAAAAATGATAATTATCCCGTCCCAGCATCATCAGCATTGATAACTGCCACTGGTGTGAAGGGGTTAATTTTTGTGGAGCTACATGTATATTCTGGAAAATTTCATTTGTAGTATCTTAACAAATATATGTGTTGCTGTCCATGAATTCCTGAAATTGCTTCCAATCTATTTCCAGGGATAAAAGCTGCCTCTAACATGCCTGGAAATACTACATCTTGCTACAATGACAGAACTCATTCCACGTCCACCATTCCGAGTCCCGAAAAGTCACTGTATTTTACTGTTGTTGTTACAACCTTGTTTTGAGGGTTTTTGGATGGATTTCTCTTCATCTCCCAATCTCACCCTTTGCAAAATATCCCTTAAATCTGCCGATGGATTTTGTAGGCTCTTGCACATGTAGGATTTAGGGCTAATGACTGCATGTACCTGCATGTGTCCTGTGTGCAGATGGAGGCGTGGATCCTGTGCATGTTGACTTTATCCCCGAAGCAAACGTTGAGACGATGTATGACTTCCCCCCTCCACCGCCTCCCATACAACCCCTTCTTCAGCTCACCTCAAACGGGAAACCCGGGGGTAAGAATCCATTTACTCACTCTATCTTGGTTGTGGGTTTGTCAGTGGTGAATGCTGTGCAAGGAATGTTGATGATGCTGTTGTATATTGATTGATTGCAAACAGATGAGTATCGAGCCCAAGTGTGAGACTGAATGGTGCATGTTGGCCAATGGCTGTGGATAACCACTGCACTGTTCCACTGACAAAAATAAAAGCTGTAGCCTCAAACTACCTGATTTGGATATGACCTAGCTGATAGCATATACCTACTAGATAGCAAGCAATGGATTGTTTCATGTAAAAACAACTGTTTGAAATTGTCTGAATTGAAATCAGCAATGTTAAAATTGCAAGAGAAATAAAACCTCGTAATCTACATACCTGTTGGAAAGAGCAATGTTGTTAAGAGATTCAGTGTGAGAACTGAAATTTAATATTTGTGAAGGATAACTCAGTTTTGATTGAAGTGTGTGCGTGGGATTTTTTTTTAAGTTGTGAAGAGGCGTTTGCTGTGGTTTCAGTGTCAGTTACTGTTGCTCTAGTTCTAGTTGTTCTGTAATCCATGTTTTTTTGGCAAAAGAAAAAGGTATGGTATTTCACTGCATGTTGCACAATATTTACTAGGTGTTGGATTTTCCATGCAGAGGTTCCTCCGTCCGTGTACAAAGCATTGAGGCAGATGGGTTACAGCAGCTTCAGGCCGGGTCAGGAACAAGCCGTTATGAGAGTTCTCTCAGGTATGGGGCCTTTCCTTGCTGTACCTTCAGAATTATTTACCCAGTCAATCACAAATCCGTCTCAAGTCAGCCAGAGGTCATATCACCGGTTAGGTCACAAACTCGTTGTAGAAGTTGAATCGAAAAAAGGGTACATCTTTGTCACAGTTCAACTGAATAGCTTCTGATTTGACTTGAGACTGGATGATTTGAGTGACTAATGAATAACTTGTACTTAATTGATTAAGACCTGCACTGTCAGTAAGTTTTTGTTAGAACTTTTTGGGGTTGAGTAGCTTCATTTCTAGTCAGTTTTTTGAACCACACTTTTTGTTTTAGAATTCTGTAATTAAAAACAAACTGTAGTCTAGATGTAGAAAGCATTGCAACCTGTCAAAGGTCGCTAAAAAATTTTGATGTCAATGTCAGTAGTCCTTTCGTATTCACTTTGAATTTAAGGGTAATTGTTTGGTATCATTCTGATGGACAAGTTAAATTTGTTGTGTTCTTTTTCAGGAAATTTATAATATTCAAAGAGCGTCACTGCGAGATCGGAAATTGTATTTTGTCTTAACCAAACCGTACATGTCTTGTTCTTGTTAGGGCTATCCACCTTGGTTGTATTATCCACCGGGGCAGGCAAGTCACTCATTTACCAGCTGGCATCACTGGTGTATAGCCAGCGTTCTCCCTGCATCACGCTGGTTATCTCACCACTGGTATCACTCATGGATGATCAGGTAAACAAGCTATTAGCTACTCAACAAAATGCAGCCAGTAGATAAGGTGGAGAGGGGAATATTTTGACATTGCAGTCAGTTCATTTGAATATTTTATGAAGTGGGCTGGTTATACCTGAATGTCTTATGCTGGACTGTAATGAACTTACAGGGATGTTTGATGGACACTGTCAAGCAGTGTTCAATTTCATGTAGATGCTAAGTCACCAGTGACTATTGCTTGTCAGTGCTTTGCAGTTAGGATACATTTTTAACGGGGGTATTTTTTTGGTTTCAGTAGATTATTCCAAGACCTAAATGTGTCACAATAGATAGTGTCATATTTCTACATTTTGAGAAGAAATAAAAGAACACAGTCAACTACTAGATTCATTCTCAATGTTGAAGTAGTTTTATTTTATCCAGTGCCAAGTTTCTTGTCCAAGAAATCTTTGTTGTAAATTGTACCTGTTATGTTCAATGAACAGGTGTTAGGGCTACCAGATTGTCTAAAGGGTGTCCGTCTGCACAGCAATATGACCAAGCCACAGCGCGAGAAAGTAGTGAAGGAGATACAGGCTGGCCGGGTCAACATCCTGCTGGTGTCTCCCGAGGCCATCGTGGGAGGGGGCGGGGGGACGGGAGGGGGCTGCATGCCAGCCCTGGCACAGCTGCCGCCAATTGCATTTGCCTGCATTGATGAGGTCCACTGCCTGTCTGAGTGGTCCCACAACTTCAGGCCTTCCTATCTCATGCTGTGTAAAGTAAGTTGCGGTCAGTACACTGATTCTGTTCATAAGCAGCTTTCTGTGACAAAAAAGAGAGAATTATGGCAGACACTTGAGCACCATTGCTGTGACACAACTGAGGATCTTTTTCACAGCGCTGCTAACACAGATTTGCTAAGTGCAGGAAATACATGCTTACCAAAAACAGGTTACCTTCCAAACTGCAATGCAGAGTGTAGGACTTGAGACTGGTCCTCCGCTCATTTTTGCTAAGCAATGTTATGTGCCCAGCAGCTCCATAAAATTCAACCTGGTGCCCATATATAGACGTCACAAGTTTGTGCCCATACAGAGTAGTCACATGGACCAGTATTACATCTGTAATTGACACCTCAATTGTTCCACCAACCTTGCAAACTGTCACCAAAAGTAACGCTCCCTTTTTTCACACGTCAAGGTTAATCACCCCAAATGTAGGCACTGAAGAACTGAGGCATACAAGTATTAATCTGCTGATCTGAATCGGTTCAAAACTAGGTATTACGGGATAGACTGGGGGTGCAGTGCATGCTGGGATTAACAGCCACTGCTACCATGGCAACCGCTCAGAGTGTTGCTCAGCATCTTGGGATAGCCGACGATCCAGATGCCATCATCCGTGGAACGTGTCTGCCAGATAATTTGCTCCTTTCGTCTTCCAGAGACGACAACAGAGAGCGTGTAAGCACCTACATTTGTAGCACAGTCCAGTTCCACTTCAGTGTAAACAGCATATAACGTCCAAATAACACTCAAGTTGTTTGCACAAATCTTTGACATGACTGAGTATACAGTTTCTGTAAAATTATGTTGTTGAGGGCACAACCTGTTGAACGTAAATGAAATTACATACCCAAGATACAAAATGTTAATAAAGAAAGTTACGAATACAGTGAATGAATGAATACAGTGGCCTGTGGCATTTCAGGTTTGAACTGACAAGCCTCAACTGGTAAGTGCAGTATCTGCGCTTAGACATAGGAAGTCATAGGTTCGAGTCCATCCTGGGTAACCTTAATGCAAGCCCTCAGAAAGCACAGAGCCAACAGAGCTTATTTCAAATAATGTGTTCAAATCTGTTGGCTTTGCTGGCAATTTATAATCATAAATACTTCTGAAAACAAGAAAGTATGTAACTTGGAGATAGTTTCCATGAAAAATTGGACAAACTATAATCTTTAAAAAAGTAAAAAAAAGATCTTAGAAAAGTTTAGTAGGTTCACATAATCATTAAAAACTTGTATCTTTGAATTTTGTGCAAAAAAATTTCCAAGGCCTTCTAGTCATACTACCTTGCCATTAAGCATTCCTTTCACTGTAAAATTTAACATTCAAAAGAATTTGCTTTTAGCACTTCTGTGATATAGTTATTAAGTTCCTTTTCTCAACTTTTTGATATGTCTTGTGTTTTGATAATGTAGGCTTTAGTGGAGTTGCTGAAAAGTGAACGCTTCTGTCATCTTCCATCCATTATCATCTACTGCATCAGACGAGAGGATACTGAAAGAGTAGCATCACTGCTTAGGACTTGTCTCCCTGACACGGAGCTGCAGCCAGTACCAATGCAGGAAAATGATGAGCAAACTGTCAACGAATTTAAAGACGGCCAAATGAATATCTCAGTAATGCAAACGGCTAACTGTGAGCAGGTGAGTGCAGACGGTGGGAACGATCAATGCGCTGACACAACCAAGTCTCCAAATGGAACGGTCAGTGATGATGGTAAATGGAATAGGCTAGAGGAAGGCTTAACAGAGGAGTCGGACAGGAGGAAATATCCGGCTGAGACAGCATGTGAGGATGCCCATATAAACAAGAGTCTAAACGAGGATCAAGAGCTACAGAATAATGATTCTGCCAATCACGACATAGCAAAAAAGCGAGGAAGAAAGAAAAACACTGCTCCTACACAGGAAGGAGATCGCGAGAATGGCAGGATTCCCAGGAAAGGGAGAAAACGAAAGAGACTTGTCAGTGAGACGGATGACGAATACTGCTTCGAAGATGAAGAATCCTCAGATGTCTCCACTGCTAAGAAGAGAAGAACGAAGACTGGTAAATCCACCAAGACAAAAGTAAGGAGTTTGAAGAAAAAGGCAAGAATTACAAGTAAAGCGGCCCTCAAAGGTGAGACATGGTTGCCTGATGTTGTGGCCTGATAATGGCTTAAAGAAAAGACCTTAATGCCAACTTTGCTGTGAACCTGAAAAGTGTGCACCTAAACCTCCAGAGAATTGATGAACTTTACAGACTCTGATGTGAATGTAGGGAGTGGTTAATCTTTCAGACTGTCCAGTGAACCATGTGGGGTTTAATGTGAACCTCCAATGTGTTGATGTGAACGTAGAGAGTATTATTTGAGCCTCGAGATTGCTCATATTAACTGCAAGTAGAATGATGGAACTTCAGGAGAGTTGATGTGAGCCATGAGTTCTAATGTGTACCCTAAACAAGTTGATGTGAACCTCGGTAGGGGCAGTGTGGACCTCAAGTGTTTGTGCAACTGCTGATGTCTTTGATTTGTGCCAACAGGTGTGAAAGTTGTGACAGGGGTCAACAGTGTGGAAGCCTACCACGCGGGCATGACGGCTGCCGCCCGACGCCGGGTCCAGACTGCATTCATGACAGGGCGCCTGCGTATTGTGGTGGCCACTGTGGCTTTTGGCATGGGCCTGGACAAGTCAGACGTCCGGGCGGTGCTGCACTTCAACCTGCCTAAGAGCTTTGAGAGCTACGTGCAGGAGATCGGTCGTGCCGGCCGGGACCAGAAACCGGCGCATTGCCACGTGTTCCTTGAGCCGCAGGTGGGCACATCTTGTTGGCTCTTTTTTCAAAGTATTGGATTGGATGACGTGCATCATTTCTTGTAAGGGCTTCAAAAAGGGTCTCATTTTGTGGTTCAGTGTAATTCTTGTACCGAAATCACAAATATTGAAAGTTATAACAATGTACTGCATATGCTTAATGCCTTCATAAAAAGAACATAGCCCTTTATGAAAAGTAAAATACATTCTCATTCATGGCCATATAAAGTTATAGTCAATATGAACAGCACTTAAGGGTATTGGTTTAGTAGTTTAAACTGATGCCCTTGACTATGTCAGTAATTGATTAAGCATTTTAGTGAAAACAATGCAAAAAAGTTACATTACATACAAACAATTACTGGCAGTCAGTATTTTTCAAATCTAAATTATCTCCTCTAACATGGTTACGTCCAGTTGACACCGTCTTTGTTTGAGTGCATTTCAGCATTTCTTTGGCACAGTATATATTTTTTCTCCCGTGCACAGGGTAAAGATTTGTGTGAATTACGACGTCACACATACGCCAACACAGTGGATCATTACTGCATTAAGAAGCTTATCAGCAAGCTGTTTCCTCCCTGCAAATGCCAGCAAGCACGCAGACTTTACCAGGTGAATGAAACTAAACTGCTACCGATATAGAGAGGAACCAGATTTAGGGAGCCAGGTTGGCACAGTGTTTCCTTCCTCGCCTTCCACCTCTGGGGGCCTGGGTTCGCATCCGGCTCGGTCCACATGTGGATTAGGTTTTCAGTCCTTACCATAGTTCGTGGGTTTTCCTCCCACCTCTAAAACTGAACATTTCCTCATTGTCTTCTTCACTCAGTTTCATCCCGTAATTGGTGCAAAATGCGCCGTTGGATGATCAGATATAAATAAAGAGTAGTCCAGACCATCACCAGACTAACACAAGACTAACACAAGACCAACACAAGACCATCACCAGACCATCACCAGACTAACACAAGACCAACACCAGACTAACACAAGACCAACACAAGACCATCACCAGACCATCACCAGACTAACACAAGACCAACACCAGACCTTCAGCGTCTGAATTCATGTCACAAGCTATTCAAATGAACTGCAACAAAAGCATTCCTTTGTCATTATTCTCCCTGTCATTCGTGTCTGGTCATGTGATGGTCTCAACTTCAAGACTGATTGTTGCATGTTCTGTTCAGATGGTTGGGATCAAAGTCATTCTGAATTCAGGCTCTTGACGTAAACGATAGCAAAAACCTTTGAAGACTGTGGATTGCAAAAGCTGACATGGCATCAATTATTCAAGGCCATAATACTGAGCACAGAGCTTTTTTCATAAAATGATTTAGTCTAATATTTTTGACCACGATTCATTGGTCCTTCGTAATCATTAATAGCATGTTACTAATCATGACTTTTGGGTTCAATTTCCACAGAAAAAAAATGATCAATATTCATTTGAAAAAAAATTTTTTTTGGTTAACCCAACTTCTATTTTTAAGCGGAAGGTAAGCAATTAAGCAAAGTTACCAAGGCATACAAGTACAAACAGTTGCCATAAGAGGGGCTTTTCTTTGGTCCAGAGAATAACATGGTCAGTATAAAAACCACCTGTCAGAATGTTCATGCGACTTATTCTGCAGATTTCAGCAGTGTTTCTTCAGAGCAGAAAATTGGCAACCCAGAATATAAGTCTGCTTGTTTGGAACTTAAAAATAACTGTAAGTCTAATAATAAGTTGGGTCACAAATAACAGAGAAAGAAATGCCTTTGTCATGGTTCCCTTGAATAGTATGTCACTTGACTTGAGATGCTATGACTCGTGTTCAACTTGTGAGGACTAGTGACATACTGAAATACAACTGTAACTCGTGGTTATCAGATGTCAGATAAAGATGGTGACACAAGCAACAATATTGCCTTGTCATGCGGTGAGGCAGTTGAGGACAGGGAGATTACCGACGAGCAGGCCATGGCAGCCATGGAAGAGTACGAAAACAGCCTCCCTGACTCAGAGACCCAGCCCTGCCGATCCAGTAGGCAGCCATTCGGCAAGAGACTATGCAGAGGCCACCTTGTTGCCGTGCCAATCGATGCCACAGTGCAGGAACTGGACATCAAGGAAGAAGGTGATTACAAAATCTGCAGTGCTTAATTGGCAGCCAGGATAGAGAAATATTTCAAGGAACTTTATTAAAAACAACCAGAAAATACCAGGGAATCCAGTGATGTGAATAGTGAATGGTTTTATGCATGTACTGGATTTTTACTCAAAGTCCTTTAATAATTCCTCGACTAAAGCTGAATATGAGATGATGAAGTAGAAATTCATCTTTCGTGCAGAGGCATGTTGACTGAATGGTTTGAGTGAGTATGAAATTCAGCGCTGGAATCCACAGCTTTAACACAAGTTTGTAAGGAAAAATGTACAGAGACTGGCTGAGGACTTGTGTCCAAGTCTGTACCAGGCATCCAAGTCAAGAGTCTTTTTGGCAAGTGCTTGGTCATTTCAGCAAATCTTTGGCCTTCGCAAGCATTTTTGTGTAATAGACACAGACACTGTAAGGGATGGTGGATGAACTGCAGGACATGTACCGGAAGTCGACTTAGTTGCAAGGTTGGCTCTCCTAAGCAAACAGTTGATGGCTTACTCGTATTGTAAGTTGTGCACAAATTGCACAGAGAAATTTGAAGAGGAACGCATCAATCACATTTTGCTTCATACTTCATGTCTTAACCCCAAACTAAGATACAAAGTGCTTGTAGGGTCCAATCAATAGGTGTCAAAGTACCACATGACCTCCTAGATCAGCCACCATTACCATAGGCAAATGTTTCATTGTTTATCATGTGTCGTACATTGTAAACGTGACAGAGAGTTCATGTCTCATAAATAAAGGTGAATTCTTTATCAAATAGCATAATGGTCACCATTTTGTGTCATGTATGGTTATTAACTTCTGGATCCAGTATGTAACACTGGCTTAACACTGGCTTCGGATTTCTCATACTTTTGGCCATTTCTTTAAGCTTTGAAGGCGTGCCTACCATGTAAATACTGTGTGGCCCCACACAATTAGGGAGGCCATATTGGGTGGCACCGCACAATTAGGGAGGCCATATTGGGTGGCACCACACAATTAGAGACACCATATTGGGTGGCACCACACAATTAGGGAGGCCATATTGGATGACTGACATGATTCAATATTATAATTTCAGGCATTTCCACACTGCTGTGCTACCTGGAGCTCCATCCCCAGTGCTGGCTGGTCACCTTGCCACCAACGTATGCCACTTGCACCATCCAGTGCTACGGGGGACCGGCCCAGCTCCAGCAAATCGCCAAAGCCTGCCCACCGGTGGCCGTGGCAATTGCCAAAAGCAAACAGCGTGGCAAGTCCTACCGTCACGCCAGCAGCGTAGAGTTCGATGTGGTGGAAGTGGCTCGCTGCATGGGGTGGGACCTGACCATTGTGAAGAAGGAACTGCGGCAGCTCAGATGGAGACAAGTCCTTGGGAAAGGTGGGTGATGCCTGCACACTTCATTATCTGTAATATACAATTGCAAAGAACTGACAAACAGTAGAGCAAAGCTGGAGATTGCAAAGGTGTCATGGTTGTCATGACAACCAGTAGCATTTATATTGTCTGGCTAGCATGAAGCAACTCTGCAGCCTATAAGATACAGGGCTTTAACCTTACAATCAAGAGACCAGCTAATGTACAGCCACTCAAAAGCTTTTAAGATCATCGATATAATGCATCCATCATACAGCCTGTACGCATTGGGTGTAATATCCACGACCTACTATGCAGCCTATTCACCTATTTGTTGAAGTGCATCCTTCTTGGCAAGATGAGACGGGCAGGTGGAAACTTTTTTAAAGAGGCTAAGATTGTACAATTTAACAGAAATTGGTCATGTGTGCTCGATACATCCCGCACCAAATGCGAATAGACCTGTGCACACACATGGTGAGTTCCCACTAGAGGACCATCTTTGTTCTGCAAAACTACGCCCTCTATTCCCGCTCAGAGCAGATGAGGTATAATGTATCTATTGTACAAGCTGCAGACCAGGCTATTGCAACTCTACAGGCTTAAGACTCATTGCTTCCAGCATACAAGCTACAAACGGGTGGCAGTCACTCTGCAGCCCCATCTGCAGCCAATGAATTAATGCTGCCATCATCTGAATTACAGACCAGGCTGTAGTGGCTTTACAGCCTTCATGCCTTCCATCAAACAGGCTACAGACTAGCCAATGTGAAGCCACCGTGTAGCCTACAAAATACCAAAACATCCTTTATATAGCAACATGGTAGCTACTGGGAATCTACTCTGCATGCTGTAAGATGCACAGCTCCTAGAATGAACAAAAAAATTGGCAAATACATCGACCATTCTATTTTTACATCTCATGCATCTGCAGGGTGGATCAAGAGTGGAGTCATGGTAGAATTCTCCAATCTAGCATTCTTGTCACTGTCGCCGGGTGATTTGACAGATGATGAACAAGATGAGTTAGTCCATTACCTAACCAGCAAGTCCAGCTCGCAAGAAAGAAGGGAGCTTGACCAGCTAAGAGCTGTGCACTCAGCGCTTCACAGGTATGTCAGGGTGACTAGCATTTCAGACTTTAATAAATGTCTAAGAATACTGGTGGAAGTGGTAGACCATTGTTGAGCTCTGTTGTAAATATTTGAAGAGTAAAATCCACAGGCAACCCAAAATTACAAAATGAGGCATAAGAGGCCTTTGAAAAGAATCCCGCAAGATGTAAATTACGAGGACCTGTCAACTTTTTCCACCTGTATGATGTCCCTTTTCACCAGGATGCCAAACTGAGTGAGACATCTGCACATAGAGCTGAGTTTGCTCTCTGCTGCAAAATAAAACTCACTGAAACAAAATAGCCTCAAGACTCATTTTATGAGATCTGGTCACCAAATTTACTCACAAAGTAACCCTCTAATGGTTGCATGTGTGCTTGATTTCAGTATCTCTCACAGCAATTACTGGGACTGTAGTGATGCCGTGGACTTGGAGCGCAGTAACTCCTTGAAGAGTATTCTGAAGAATTACTTTGCCAAACCACTCAGAGATTACATCGCCGAGGCCTGGAACAATGACGGCAGCCACACTGACCAAGTGGGTCACATTCATTGGTATTTGTAAACTTAAGTACTGAGTTTTGCCCACCACCAATGGAACTTGTAAAAAAGCACTCCATAATAAGTCTGAGAGCTTGTGAAAAAAGCAACACAAGCTTGCTGAGGTGGGACTCAAAATCATGAATTTTGCTCCCTGTACAAATATCTTAACCACTTGACTGGCAAGCTCGGCTGACAATGGACCTTTCCCATGAAATATGCAAATAAGGCAGGCGCGTGCGCATTACTACCTCTGGTTGGCAAAGTTGCTTAAATCTATGACGTAAGGATACAAATCTCCATGCGCGCATCACTATCACCATTTCTGTACTAGTATAGTTTGACATGAGTGCCAAACTTAAAGACAAGGAATTGTTACTTTTCAACCTCAGGACACTGAAAACTTCACTTAGTTTCGAGAAAAGCGTGCTCAAGTATCGGGCAAAGGCTGTCATATGGTTTTGATTGACCTTCAACACTCCAGGTTATGGTTACGAGCAGCTCGCCTACACTGCCGACAGTGTTGACGGCCGCACTTGCCAACCAGTGGTAGTAGTGCGTATGCGCCCGTCCAGTTTGCATATTTCATGGGAAAGGTCCGTTCATTATGAGGGCATGTGCTATATACTTTCAAGTTGTCATCTTGTTATCGTTTGTGCCGTTTGTCACACAGTCGGAGCTCGATGCAGCCAAGGTGGGACGTGCCAGGGGCGACGTACGCCAATTTTTGGGCCTGCACACCGACAGAAGCTTCTCTGGCCGAGCCGTGGCACGTATCTTCCACGGCATCGCCAGCCCGTGCTACCCGGCCCAGGTGTGGGGAAGGGACAGGAGGTTCTGGAGGGCCCATCTCGACGTGGACTTCAACCTGCTGCTGCAGATAGCCACTGAAGAGATACTCAGACTACGCTAATGACCCCACAAAGTCGGCAAGAGTTTCTTGTGGCCAGGAGTCAGGATTTTTCCAGACTCCCAAATAGTGACATTTAAGAAATTTGATCATTTGGGGTTTGTTGTATTTAAATCATTTCATATATTTAAAAAAGTGCAAATACATTTGTACAGCTACTTGGTGGAGAACTCATGCTTTTTAGCTGTTGAAAACCCAGAAAAATTGCGATATTGTTTTTTCATTGTTGCAGTCCTTCTGCTGGATGTTTTGCTTCTTTCATCTGCCATTCTCATCCATGTTGGTGGTTTGTATACAACCTCCACATTTATGGCCAAATGACATTTTTTTCTGGCATTTCGTATTATACCATGTATATGAAAATGAAGCATAAGCATCTCTCCTAGTTACCTATTTGTAAACCTTTGTAACTTTTCGTAAATCTTCTGCTTGATGTTGCCGGGATATCATTTGGTTTATATGTGCTAATTCCTTGTGCTTCAGAAGTACCTAAAGACCAAACCTGGCAAAGAAAGAACTTTGCTCAAGCAAAAGGCAAAGTTTTGCAACACTGCAGTAACAAGTTAGGTGTATTGACGGACAGTGCCTCACTGGGTCTGTAATGATCTCGATATTGAATGTAGAATATAAACAAGATTTGATTGAGTAGCAGGTAGGTAATTGATTATGTACCTGAATTGTGCACACAGCTCTACAAGGGCAATTTACTTTTCAATGCAGATATGTTCCTCATGCTGAAATGTTTATCTTATTGGTTTTTGTTGCCTACTGTTTATTTTGCTCTGGTATTGATTCATTGTATTCTACCCAGGAATCTTGTGTTTGTCTTAAGTTTATCTTGAATATACCAGGGTCTTCGCAGTCGTAAAAAAGTCATGGAAATTTGTTTTCATTTTCCAAGCCTGGGAAAAGTCACAGAATTTTGTAAAAATGACCTAAGTTATGGAAGTCGTGGAATTTTCAAACACTGTGTGATTTGTATTATCAGAAATAAGTGCATAAAATGTGTGATTTTATTCGCAACTTTAAAAGTTTGAAGAGTCCAGGAAATTGCATTTTGGGTCATGGAAAAATCATTGAATTTAGCTGTCCTTTAGACGGAGGAACCCTGATATAAAGTCAGGAGATGAATGAAACTTTAATTTTGTCCTGTCAGTGCAACAAGGTCATGATTTGCATTGGTTTTGTACATGAGATACGACCTTGCTGCACTGACCTGACGATTTGACCGTTTTCCTAATCTAAGTAAGCTTTTTAAGATGAGGCTCAGTTGAAAAATCAAGTGACCTTGCCACATGAATATTCATAATATTCACATTTCACTTTTGACCCTATTTTGTATGTTTCTGGACACCAAAACCACAGAGTTTCCAGTATTTTTGTATTATTATGCTAGCAATCTATCTGTTGTTTAAGCTTTTGCAGCCTTATTTTTGACCATTTCTCATCTACTTCATTTGGTTTCAGGGAACACACCAATCAGTATGAAGCCAATTAAACTTAAGTACCGGTACGCAACAAATTTCTCAAATTACTCTGAAGAAAGCTTGGAGGAATGTATGCAGCGTGCAATACCTCACACTTCCAATATCCAAACATCTCCAATCGACACCATGATGTCCACAAAGAATATTTATTCATCCACAGACATGGATCTGAAGAGAACACACCATTTACTGTTTACAAAGTGTAATTTTCACGGAACTTAAAATACTCTGAGCCGAGTCCCTTTCAAAGGACTCGCAAAATGTCCATGACAATGAAAACGTGAAAGGAAACAGTTGTGGCAAATACTTCGGAAAGATTGTACACATGACAGTAAATGTTACCTAATGTTTGAAAAAAACGCTGTTGTGCATAGAATTACCCTGCTTTCAAGATACCTTGCAATACATCTGATTGTAAGTAATGTTTTTAGTAACTCTCATGTACCCAAAACATAAACTATGCCTTCAGTTCATGAATATAAAAGCCAGTAATAAATCTGTAAACTCCATCTGTTGATTTTACTTTGCATAAATGAACAGACTTCTTGAAGAAAAACCCAACTAGTTTGAACTGTCTGACTAGTAACATCCATGCAATTAACATTAATCACATTTTAATCATAGTACTCACACTTTAGTAAATATCTGAATTGTGTTGAAAAGTATAACCAATATCATAGAATTACATGAACAGAGAGCTTAGCACCATTAAAGAGCTACTTCATAAACTTAGCACCAATGGACAGCTACAAATCACATCAGAAAGAATATCCAAATAGCCAATTAAGGCCTCTGGTGATTGGTAAGTAGACAATAGTTTATCAAGATAATACGTCAATTTCAATATATTTTAAAGCATGATTGTTTAACACTATTTCATCTTTTACAATCTGTCCTGTGTTCCCAACCTGGCAAACCTGATTTACTGCGGTGGCTTGTTTCCCATTTTCATCCTCTGAACAGGGGGACTATTTTCTTTGTGTCTTTCAGCAAGTGGTCAAATAATAATATTTGGAGAAGCTGGAATAACATCAAGTATCTGTTCAATGCCGAATGCCAAACATTTTCACCTGTTTTACAGAGAATCACAGAGGAATGACCTGGTCTTCAAGAAATACTTGACTGTTTGATTGCATTTAGTAGACTGTTTGATTGCATTTAGTAGACTGTCTGATTGCATTTAGTAGACTGTTGGTAGCAGAAGACATAATCTGCACGGTAACTGTTCAACACGTGACAGCTCATCCTATTTGGGGCCCACTGCTCTCTTTGCATGGCAGGCTAACTGCCACAAGTAAAGTCACTGGTTCCCAGCATTCTGACTGGTATAGAAATTTGCCAAACCATTTTGTTTTTCTGCTAAAAAAGCTAAATGACATCCGGTGCTTGACCCCAAGGACCAGAGTCTGGATGGTCAATACAATCTGGAATGTTCTAATCGTGCTTATTTCTTGATGTTGTCAGATACTGTAGTGTTTTTAAATCACATTCTCCTGCACCATTAGCCCCCTCCACGTGTCTAAGCCCTTTTAAAGAAAACAGTCACGAATCAACATCACCATCAGGAAGAGTCAATTTTATGACCGTCAAATTTTGAAAGGTGTTTACCAGATTTTAAGAGCTCTTTTTGCAGTGATAAACAGCACTTAGTCTCTAGAAGTTGGAATATTTTCCATAAATGTTCTGCAATTCTGAATCAGTGATCTGATTCACAACCATCTATTTACAAAGGCAGATCCAGAACCTATTTTGGGGGGGGGCAAACATTTGGGGGTCCAAAAACTTTGAAAATTTTTTCATGTAGATTTCATGGCCTTTCTGAGTGGTGAGGCTAACTTTTGTCATTCAGATATCACATTTGTATAACAACAGCTGACAAAACAGTACATTAAAAAGTGAAAAACAAAATAATCCAAATGTGTACATTTGAAAGATGGTCACCATGTGACCACACGCTAACCATCACTCACTATCCATTGCGTCAAATAGCTGTGACATTTACAGGAGCTGTATTTCAACAATTACCAGTAAAGGCGTACAGAAAATGGGAGTACAGTTACTTGAATAGCGTCTAATTACACTCAAATAGTGGAGTCAACTCTTTAATGCAATTATGGTTGTTACTGAAGAAGCATGTATCTGGTTTGTGAGTGACTTCGTCACACATGCGGATGCACCACTGATTTGCAGGCTCCCATTGGACGAACACTAAAGTTGCGTGTTAACTTCCGGCTCCAATGCAACTTAAAGTGCAGAGGGTGTGGTTGAGACTGAAGTGACGTCACACTTCCGAACCGGATAGGCTTGAATGCTGTTTGGCCACCAACAACTCTAAGGCATTCTGGGCTGGGAACCTTACTGATTTCTCATAAATCCTCCACTGCAGGAAACCAATGACACATATTTCATACATCAACTCTAAAGGGAGCAACATTGCCCACCTAGGCAATATTGCTCAGCCTCCTTCAATCTTGCCGAAATGCAAATCTACAAGGAGTTTGGCTGTGATTGGCATTAGATTTATGTCTACCTCACTCTGTATTTTCCCACAAACCACATTATGATCTGCTGAATTTCTTCAGTTGTTTGCAAGAAGAAACAAAAACACCAAAAAAAAAAACATGCTGGGAACATCTTTAAGTCTCGACAGTACAATTAACCAATAAGGTGCATTGAACTAAGAGCAGTGTATCCTACATACATGTGATTGTCTTTACTACGGTACGAGCATACAAAACTATGCAAACCTGGTCGAGGTAGAACGTTCATGGGGACTTTTTAATAATGTGACAGCTCCAGTGGCAAATACACTGTGCCCTTGTTCACCAAAGGGTTGGAATTTGCAAATAAAACCAGTCGACATCCTTTGCATTGAAGATGTCCTCAGCAATGTCATTGCAAGATTTACAGGGTGAGAATGAATTTTAAGATAGGTTCAAGCGTCTTGGAGGAAACTTGCAGAGAATTTTGTACAAAGAAACAAAAGAAAAGAGAAGAAATGGAAGGATATGCCGATACAAACACAATGGATGACTGTGCTCAACCTGATCACCAACATGGAAAGGTAAATACACGCACATGGAAACCACTGAACATTGGAAAATATAATTAAAATGAAATAATCCATTACGTAACCACAAGTTACGGCATCTGATACTTAAAACATGTTGGACTGGCAATGGCAGCTTGCTACAGATTGGCGGTATTAATTCTAATCTCAAATTTTTTCTCTCTCTAAGTGAACCATATTTGAGGTGAAGGATCTACAAAACGTAGGATAATTAACGAATAATACTGTTGTCTGAAGCAAATAATACTGAACTCTCTCATGGCAAAATGCCGTCAGGAATCCACATAGACTGTTATTGAAAAACAATTCAGACATTCATTGATGGTTGGTGATAAAGCTCACCTGCAAAGTAACTGGGTCACATTGATTTTTAATTTCAGGAGGGCTGATTCGCATCTTTGTGCTTTAAACAAAAGCAAGGCAAATTGATGTATAGTTTATTTCAAATGCAGTATAAGACTACATTATTGCTGGGATTATTACATTAAAAGTAGGGAACTTATTAAATTAAAGAATCTCATTGCAGGGCAACTATTAAATTGAATTTAACAGAAAGCCAAGCTTCTAAGTTGGCCTATTAATCACTATAGAGAACTTAACTGATAAAATTAAAAATCCAAAATGCACTTAGGGCTCCAGCGATGAGGCACTGTGTGCCAATTCACAATCTTTCTAGAATCATTTCAGATTTTGTATTTTGATGGAAAATCCTCCAAAACCCAAAGGCTGCTTGGGTTGTTTTTTGTGATAGTTTTTCCACCTTCCAACTACAGTTTGTTACAAAAATACACAACCATCTCACCTAAAATAGCAATTCAATATCTAAAATAAAGTTTTACAACAGGGTGATACTATTTATAGAACTGGATACAAACCTTTTCCATGAAGAAAAAAAGAATCACTTATACTATAGATGCATTTGTACAGCTATTTAAACAAATAATTGAAAAATAAGTTGTCTTACTGTCAGGTGTAAGGTGCAAAAATACTTAACAGCTGTAAGACTATAAAATATCCCACTGAAAAAGCTGGAACTAGATTTCATCTCAAAAAACCTGACAAATACCGTGAAGGAATATCTAGATACAAGTGCAATAATTTTCAGGCGGCTTTATCATTATTTGAAAGCTCTTTCATACATAATGTACTAATCACTTCATCATTTCACACACAATTTAAATAAACCATAATCATAATTTTTAAAAAATAACAACAGTAATAGCACCTAATGTACATCGGCAAACACCAATAAATAAGGAGACCCTGCTTTACACGAATACCTGTACAGACACCTTGAGTGTGCCCCCCAAAAAAGGAAGGCACGATTTTGTTGCCATGGTAACACAGAGTTGCACTGCTAAAGCCCAAACACTTGTAGGGTGCAGAAAAACAGATCCAGGTTTGTGTTGCTTAGTTTTGGCGTTACCAAGGAACTTCTTAATTAGATACCACCAATTTGTGCGGTGCTGCTGAGATCAAACAGATTTCTCCCTCCTGTTCACTATTTACTGACAAACATTCTAAAATTTGCGGTCCGCGTCGTAATGAACACCGTTCTGTTACCACAGCACAAATTGCAGTTCGGTCACCAGATGGCAAATGCTTGGCCATTACCAATGCAAGCAGACTGCTCAATAATGCAGAATACTGTGTCAAGCATTTTCTGAAAAAAAAAATTGCATAAAATCTCTGCACGAAGATATGTTAGCCCTCTAGCAATGACTCTTCACAACCCCGCATATTTCACAGAAGAAAAACATAAGACCTGCAAATAGGCATCACCAACCTAACCATAACCAATCGCATGTTATAAGTCACAAGTATTGACGGTAATGTATTTCCGACTTCAGCAGCTGGCCTATGAGCCATCAAAAAAATCAATCCCTAAGTAGGCCTATACAATTAATCACTTCTTACAAAGTCTTGCAAGTGTTCCACCACAATCCATGTCGATGTTGGTTTTGCTGATGACAGATCTTAGCAAATGGGTAATGAGACAGTGCTGTAGACCTCAGCTTTAATAATCTGACTCATTCCTTTACGTTCTTGTTTTTGTATCCGTCAAATGGAACCAATGATTTTCATTTCTATCGTGTCTTTTTTCCCTTTCAGAAAAAACAGGTGGAAGTCCACTTAAAAAAAATAAAAACATTTGTGTAAACAGTCTACTTCCTACTTCATCTTGTATTTCACAAAGTGGATGTACATTGAGAAACGGTAAAACAGGGTTTTCTGCAAAACAATTTCCTGGACAAATTCAACTCACAAAAAACCTCATACTCGTGCTGAATACTAGCAAATGACAAGCTGTATGGGGAATCTGTTCAATGATATTGATTTGTCTTTGCACTGGGGATGTCAATTTTATAATAGGATATGCCCTAAGAATTTGTTCGATAGACCATGTTTTATCTTTTTTACACACACCACACAAGGTTTCCTCCAAAGCGAACAAAAAAAAATTTCATTTCAAAAGGGGAACTCTTGTAAGTTCTGCTCTGTTTCCAAATGAAATGGAAAAAAACAGTCATTGATCCTTCACAAGCAAGATAAATTCAAACATAACACAAGTATTGTTTATGAAGTATTGTGCATACACTGCTCACTAATGTTATACGTAAGTACAATTTTCTGTACTAGAACATATTCTCAAGAAATTCACATGACAATGGTGCCTCAAGGTACTTTCCAACATTTGAAGTTTGTATCCTGGAGAGGGCGCTAAACTGGTTGCCAATCAACGCATCTTTTGAATGCACGTCTTGAATCACATCAGCTGGTGAAAAACAATTATTCACATGCATGAAAGTTTTCACTGGTTGCATAATCGTTCGGAATTCAAGACTCAGCAACCCTTCAAGCCAAACAGAACTGGGCAATGCCAATCATTCCGGGATATCATCAACTGCCATTTTGTGTAGTTCAATGACAGTTCTGACATCAAAATGTCAATTTTTTATTCTTCAGAGATTGTGTGACAAATGCTCCTGCGTGGTAACGCGTCAGAATCATGCTGGCTGACTACGCTTCTGTTGAGCAGAAGGAATTTGCCGCAAACATCTCAGGGAAGAGGTGGGGGGGGTCGCAGTGAATATGGACTGGAGGATTTCGTGACTTGTTGACAAACACTTGCAGCATATTGATAATCACCACCTTCCTGTCACAGTCAACTGCATATTTTTTTTCTGTCGGTACTGGTCCAAAGAGGAGGCCTCCTGGCACTGTCAATAACTGAGACTGTCGTCCAGTCATCAGGCACTGTGCTTACAGGAATAACAGCATTTGGGCCCGTAGAAGTTGTGTTCGCACATGCCGTGTTGGGGTACGAGGTAGCACCAGTTGTAATTGTCCACGCAGGCTGGCAGAATGGAATTTAGGAACAAATAATATGTGTTACTCGAAGTCATAAACTGGCACGCATTGGATGAATACATCCATTTCAACAGTGTTGTATTCGAGTCGATCATGAGTCCGTTTACAAGTCCAGTCACAAGTCCAGTCACAAGGCCAGTCACAAGGCCAGTCATAAGGCCAGTCATAAGTGACAGGGTGAGCAATGACAAAAGAATGCTTTTGGTCACAGCTCATTTGAATAGCTTGTGAATCGGCTTAAGACTGAATGACTTGTGATGGACTTGCAGGGACTTGTGATGGACTTGAATACAACACTGCATTTCAACAATCATCTCTGGCAATATTGACTGTATTCCTGTGATGGTTTTCGTTTAGGTATGATGCTTTCCAGAATCTCTCTCCAAAGTTCAGACAGGCTTAGTACTGAACTGTTTCAATTCTGCCTTGATGGCCTCAACTTGAGACGTTTCTGATCAAATGAGGATTAGAAGTTTGTGAGAGCAACTGTTGAGGAAATTGGGTTTTAAGTATCCATCTCAACTTGAGGAAGACACCACTACCAGGTTGGTGAGAAATGTGTCACTTGAGTACCCAGCACATGCACGGAGCGTACAGAGACCATACCTTCAAAATGGACACACTTTATCCCACACCAAATATGCATTGACCTGTGTGTACAAAGTGAACTCCCACCAAGAGATCATCATTGCTATTCAAAAGCACACCAGTTCTTGTACCTGCATTGAACAGAAAATTACTGAAGGAAATATAACAAATTACCAGCTTGGGCACACGGCTCTGGGTTACACGTCTCAGTCTCGCTTGGTTTGTTCCTGCCGTTGCAGTTTGATGCCGCAGTACGTCGCCTTGTGGTATAGCAGTGTACCCTGCGGGTCCTCGTACCTCCTCCACATGTCTTGGTGCACTGAAACGCATGCACACACAAAAACTCTCAATTGATTTCTTCAAGAGGAGAACCAAAACAGCAACAAAAAAAAACACCTCAGCACTCGATACATGCATGCGGCTTGGAATCTAGCCAATTCCACCATCCCTGTAGTGGGTTTAGATTGGGTTTCAACATACTTGTTTGGCTTTACCAAAGAGGACAGATGTACACAGGAAAAAAATCTTTTTTCTATCCGTGCTGACCAGTCTTTTGTTCAATGTTGTCTTCTGTTGTAAATGCCTGTACCCCATTTTAAGATCTATTGCCTGATCTACAGGTCTATTGCTTGGTCTAAGGGTCCATTGCTTGGTCTACGGGTCCATTGCCTGGTCTACGGGTCCATTGCTTGGTCTACGGGTCTATTGCTTGGTCTACGGGTCCATTGCCTGGTCTACGGGTCCATTGCCTGGTCTACGGGTCCATTTCTTGGTCTACGAGTCTACTGCTTGGTGTACAGGTTTATTGCTTGGTCTACAGGTCTATTGCTTGGTCTATGGGTCAATTGCCTGGTCTACGGGTCTATTGCTTGGTCTACGGGTCTATTGCTTGGTCTACGGGTCCATTGCTTGGTCTACAGGTCAACTGCTATTGCTCAGTCTATGTATATAGCAGGAAAATAGGAAGAATCAGGCCTTATCCTCTGTGGTATTGTTTTACACAGAACTGTGAGCGAGCACTCGACACACAGGCTGCATTTGAGCATGTAACCCAAGTATATTCCTGAGTGCATGAAGGGAAAGAATTCGACCTTTGCGCAAATGAGAGAGCATGTGCTTGTGATCAGACCGGGAGGATACCCTTGATTATTTCAGGATGGTAGAAAGGTAGACACTGACCGCTCATGTGATATGCCCCCCCCCATCTTCCTTTGATTTAGAGTATCAACAATAATGTGTGACCACAGCCACAGTGTCTATTCACGCATCTGTGGATATTTTATAAGTTAACCGTAATCAGCCATCATGCTCAAAGTGAAGTGTCGGTCATTCTCAGATTCTTCATTCGGGAGATGGGCTACATCAATATAACTTGGCTAAGGATGACATCAATGCCTACTGAAGCCATTAATTAGCAGTCACAGTCACTTTCTATAGATATGTACACTAGAGCCAGCCGCAGCCATCTGAGGCTGCCTACTGAGACCAACTTGAGCAGGCAGTCCACCCACCTCCGACCAGGCCATAGCCCGCCACTCAGCTGACCTCTGCGCGCCCTGGGACTGGCACACCCCCCTGTGGCAAGGCTTGGTCGTGGCCAGGTTGGGCCGCTCCAGGCTGGCACACTCGCTGTCCTCTAGCTCCCGGTACTGACCCTGTCTGTCTAGGTAGCTGCAGCGAATCAGGCGGGAGCGCCGTCCCATGCCACAGGTCACCGAACACTGTAACAGATGAAGCCAACAATATAAGCAAGTCAGGTACTGTGCCTGGGCCGTTGCCTTGTTGAGGGGACAACTCCTTTTGTTAGGAAAAGTCGAGACTGAGTTGGGAAAACAATTAGTCCCCAAGACATTTTGGTCCCCACAACATCTTCATTTTAACACATTCCCCACAACTACAGAAAAAGTATAACTGACTTTTGTTTTTAAAGTTCAACGTAAATAGAAACAGGACAAAACACCTGACGAAGTTTGAACTAAACAGAGCAACATTGATGTTAATGTTATACCATGGTATTACATAAATACGCTCACGATTTTCACACTCTATTGATTTAGAACTCTTTGTGAAATTTATTTCAGAAGTTCCTGTATGAACCCAAAAGGGCATATCACTTATGAACCCAAGGCACATAATACTAGCCATAGTGGAGACTCTTTTAAACTTAGCACAGTCAAAATAAATGCTATGCCCAAGATAAGGCAATCAACACCACCATTTGCCTAACTGAGGTACGGCAGACACAACAGGAGGGTGCTATTTGGTCTGGGTAAAATCTTTAGAGTTTTTACTCCAAATTTACCCACTTCAAATAAATCCCTCCTATTGCGTCTGACATGCTTCAAAATTGGTAATATGTGCCTGTCGATAAGAACAAATACATTAAGATGTCCGGTGACGTCCAAAACAATCCTGTCATTCTCAAAATAACTTCTTGCAATGATTACTTCCACTCAGACTTAAGTTTTAACTAAGCGATAATACCATGGTACATGTATGAAAACATATATTCTCTGATGTGGTCCATGTGTTCTGTACACCTCTGAGGACAAGCATCACTCATACTGTTGTCGTGGACACCATTAGCCCCTCCCGGTGTCAAAACAGCCATGGGCCACATCGCAGCAGACGGTTATATAACATGTATCTACAATGTTTCGATTTTAATGATCAAAGCCCAACTGCAGTAAAGCACTGTCATCAATGATCACACAGAGAAGACACCTGTTAACAAGACACATGAGGATAGTAAGGATGTGTGTCAGTGAGCACAGAACACTTTCCAAGCCACACAATCATTGCGACTAGGACAACCATCACGACATCTGGTAGCAACATCTACATGTAACACAAAATGATCTGAAATGAATGAACAACTGCCAACAATTTCAAGCCAGGCCATGGGGGAGGGGGGGTGTTAGGAGGCATTTCGGGATGTCGATAGAGACACCCAGTCTTGGTGGCAACCTTAAATCTTACATGGTGAAATGTTACAGTGAGAGTTTAAAGAACTGAACGGGCAAATGGGAATGTGCAAACCCACTAGGTCTCTTTAGACCCAACATTCTACGGCACCTTACCATGGTAAACTTTCCACAATTTATGAGGAAGTCTTCAAAAGAAATTACCAATACCCAAGTGCATAAGGACAGAAGCAGTGCTCTTCTAATTCCCAAATCCAAATTCCCAAGCACAGCATCACTGCCTGCTAATGAATATAATCATACTGAGTAACTCAAAGAAGAACTGACATTAATGGTAGCATTGTTTTAGGACCTTTCTGTGTTCAGATTTTGGGGGGTTCATTTCAATTTGGCAAGAAGCAACAGCAGAACATACAATGTGAACATAAAGGGGCTACAGCTGAAAAAAACAAGGAATGACTCTATGCAAAGTGTTCACAAAAAGTCTCAACAAAAACAGCAAACATGCTAGGCAAGAAAACCAAACATCAAAACAAGGTGAAGGGTGCACAGTTACTCTATGGCTGTAAAGATCAGTGGTATGGAGTAAGGCTTGATCATATTTCAAGCGAATGCAGAGTGGATTTGATGTCACCTAACAATAAGGGCAAAATAGTTCCAACTCTTGTCATTTTTCCCAGCAGGAGTAGGTATCATTACACCATACGTGACAAAAAGTCCAGGGGAACCGACATTCGCATGAAACATGAACCAACCTATACAGAAATGCAAGCCAACTGCATGTGACATCGTGCATGTAATTGTGAAAACACACACACAACAAAAGGAGCGAAAGAAAATAATGCAAACCTCGCTCCAAGCAGATATGTACCACTGCACTTTCCGGGGGCAAGCTTTAAGGTTGCAAGTTTTTCGCAGCGGGGGCTGCTCCCCACCGCACATGGCCACTGGCTTCACTTTGGGACTCCCACTACTGTCGACGCTCTGACACACCACCGTGCGAGTCATGAAACCGGTGTCGCACGACACCGAGCACTGTGCGTATAATGATAACAACAGGTGGCAAATCAAAGAGGTAGAGAAGAGCAAGGAACCAAAACAAACTGTATCAGCAGATCTGGGTGTCAGCAAACAGGAAGGTCAACTGAAAGTCAAGTTGGGGAATTCGAAGTAAAGATGCACGAATCCTCAGGTGTGTCCCAGAGCTCCTAGCCATCTTAAGCATACGGGAGACTCTATTTGTGAGCACCTATGATGTCTTTGGTTCTATTCACAGTTCCTCCCCATTTTGATGAAAGGACAGGCACGTCAATTAAATGAGAACAACTGTTCAAGACGATCACAAAAGATGTTTCTTCCATTTTGTGAATGTAAAAGTGCATTTTTCAAGAACTGTCTACAAACAAAAATCTTCACTTGATTCTTTGACAGCTAAACTTTTCCGCCAGTAATTACAACAATTTAAAAGTTAACAAGCTCAAAATAATTAGCAAAGATATATGTGACTTGCTCTATAAAAATGGGTAATAAGTCGCCAGATTCAAGTTATGAGTTTTGATATGGCTGTAGTGCGCTGCGTTCCGGAGATATATAGACATTTGTATATCCACATTTCCGGATTCAAGAAAAGCACTTTTCAAGAAAAAGATCATTAAGTGTAACACTTGGAAACACAATGCTATGTAGGAATTCCTACTGAATGATCAATTTTTCATCTTTATCCATCAGTTTTCATGTTTGTAGTCACAAATTCTGAAAATATGAATATTAGAGAAGCTGTTCAAGGAAAAATCACGAAATCACATTTTTGAAGAAATTTTGCCCTTTCCAAATAAAACAGGCCTTGCATGTTTTGGCATTACACAACTTAAAACCCTTTTTTGCAGAGCCGGTCACCTGTCACTTCATAAAAACAAAAATCTGAGCTGGCCTGATATTCAGCTCTCCTGGACTTCCATGTTTTGCCGTACGGAAAGGGCACACATGTTTGCAGCAACGGAAGTGTTAACGATGCTGGTGAAAACTTAAATCTCAGTTGACCTACTTTAATGCCTTTCCATGAAGTGAGGATTTGTGTGCATTGAAGACGTAGTCTTGTTTGTGTCCATTCCAGAACATTTTGAATGAAATCACTTCAATTAATACATTAAATTCTTGCTTGTGGAAGAATGCCAAAAGGGTTATGAATAATGTTTTGAAAGTAAAATGGTGCAAACCAATTTAAACAAATTTGCCCAAAAAATGTATAAAATATTTTGGACATGCCCATCCTTTCAAGAAAACAGTGATGAGTTCTGACATCAAAATATTCACAACAGCCAAACTGGTACCCTGCTTAATCACTCTGCATGAGGAATAGTTGGCATCGGTGTACAGATACTATCAAACAGAATTCACTTTTGTGATGGGAGACGAATTCAGAAGGTTCTACGTGCACCTCGTCCTGCCATGTGAAGTACCAGTCTTTACAAGGTTCACAAATACATTCCTGCCTGTAATTAGGAGGGCAGGTAATTACATGCAGAGAAATAAATACAGAAAATGGGACATGTTTGAAAGTGGTTTCTCCAAGGCAAACACTTGTTGGTCACAATATTGTGGATCATTCACTCCTGGTATTCAGAAAACGCAAACAAGAAAAACAGTCTGAAAGTGTGTTGTAGTCAAGTCCTTCGTCAAGTGAACTAACGAAATAATACAAGGTAGTGTAGCAGAAATCATGCTTGAAACACAAGACAGTAAAATGGCATTCAACTACCTTTAATTATGAAATGGACTCTGTGAGTACAACAAATAAACCTAAAATGCCCAAAGTATTCGCAAAAGGACTCAAACTCCAGTCAAGGTAAGGTTAGCTTTCTTTTGGAAGTATTTGTGTATTTCTGATATACTCATGTCATCTGTGTTCCAAACCAACTGTATTCCTTAGCACATGCAATTAAAACAACTCCGCTAACACTGCCCAGACACTTGGGCTCCATTCCTACCTCACCTTGAATGTATGATTCAGATTATTTAGGGACTCAGAGACAAACTTGCCTACAACACTGGTCTAAAAAAGAGTCAAATGTTAACAATGCTTCTGTCTATCACTCCAATTCTACTTGACTGGAGGGTTGTAAAGTAGGCCGATAGTACAGTTTACTGGCTAATCGCTTCTTTGATCGAGGGATGGCATAGTCAAGAGAAATGAATCATGAAAATGAACTTCCCACAGGAAAGCAACACTGCATGCAGTAATGCTACTGAGATGGGAAGCTGATATGGAACCAATTGTTTAAATGCTACTGTTTGCACACAGGGACAGAGTACCTGCTAACTTAAATGCACCTTGTCAACAAAAAAAAATAAGTTTTCGATTCATTTTCATTTTGATGAAGAATTCGGTGGACAGAATTTGTATGTAAAGCACAGGAAGCCAGAAGTAATTGTTTAGTCAGTTTGGATACCTTTCAATCTTAAAGGGCTTATATTTAATTGACTTCAAAGCTGAGTAGGAAATTGGCTTTATAAGGTACAAGTGGTTATTATATAACTAAGATGCAGGATTTTTTTCAATTAGGAAAATGACCATTTATTATCAAGAAAAACATGTTACTAAAATGTTTGGACAGCAATCAAGACCAACTTCATACTTTGTTTCTCAAATCTCATTTTGAATTCACGGCTGGATCAATCCTCAGGGTCAAGTCCTGATTTGAGTCTAGCGTCCCTCTGATTAGGGGTGCAGTCCATGCCATAACTCATGCCAGTTAAGCCGGAGTCCAAGTCATATTTTAAAATACTCACTGTGAACTATTAATTTCCGTTGAAAAATCTGCCAGTCTTCTTCATCAACCCTTGCCTTTGAATTCTCAAAGGAAGAATTCCTCATGAAAAGGAAAAGGCCATGCTGTCACTGTTCACTGGTTCTCAAACTCAAAGCAGTGACTTGATTCTGACTCAATCTGGACTCGCATCAATCACTCTTAAATCACACAGCAGGCAAAGGGATAAAAACAAAAACCATCTTCTGTAACACATGCTATCATTCCCCTCAAATTCTGGAAAATATTTTGAAAGGGTTTCATCTCTCAGACACAACACATGCTCTTTATGCAAGTGACGGGGTTGTTCAACAGGCAGACTTACGTCAGACCAGGTGCCAGGAATCCAGCGGGCCGGGCAGTCCTGCATGTTGCAGTTCCGTCGCTTGCGGGGTTTGGGGCCGGTGCAGTAGGTCTCCTTGACGCTCTTGTCTACCTCCTCCCTCATCCGCCTCATGCACTTGACACGGCGCTTCTGCCGGCCAGTGCCACAGGAACGGCTGCACTCCCCCCATTCCCACACCTCCCACCTGCAGAATAATCATTGATACCCTTAATAATTGCTACCTTAGGGAAATGTTCTCATGCACCTGCACAAAAACAGTGATGCCCTTGAACTCTAAAATGACAAAAACCTTACCCAACCCAATCAAATCTTTTTGTATGACTCTAAGCTATCAAACTATCCTTCAGAACTGAAAAAAATATGAGTTTCTGCTGGTATCAAAAACCAAAAGGGAAGATACTCAACTATCTCCCTAAAATCAAATGTCTTTCTAAAGGTTTATTACTTACTAAAGTTTACTTACTATTATTATTACTTACTAAACTTACTAAGTTTCTCCCAAACAGCACATAATGTAATAGGAATAACAGACAGTTTTCGATCCTATGATTGGGAATTACAAAGACCACATGCCATGAAACCCCTCCAAACCAAAGAAGACCACTGAAAATGTACATGTAACACCTTCTGATGTCATAAGGCTCAAGGGAAAATGGACCAAACTCGTTCTTTAGTAAGGAGCAAAAAATCCTTAAATGCAGCAGTTGATTTTGGACATACTTGTAGCTTTCAGTAGAGAGGGTATAAGGCCCCCCCCAAAAAAGTCTCTGGTTTCTGGTCACCGTGCGCATCGCCGTAGATCTGCATGTCGGCAAACTAAAGAATTTTTTTATTTTGCATAAAACGATTTCCAAAAGCCGACAAACTTTTGGCAGGAATTCTGCTACCGCGCAATTTTAATGTGTTTTCAATGAGTGGGGTGGAGTAATATGTACGGTGAAGGAATCCCCGTAGGCCTCCATACATTTCAGTTGGGCACTCTTAACAGATGACGTCATTCGTGTATCTTTATACGAAGGCTGTGTCCGAATCAATTGGCTGTGGCTCAATATTGCATGATTCTATAAGAACTGGCTGTGGATGCTACCAAATACTCAGCATAATTCCGACCGTTGCCAACTGATTCGGACCTGGCCCGCGTCTGTGAACGTGACAAACGAAGTGGTCTTACATCCCGCTTATGTATTCAAATTAAAAATGCTTTTAAGCAACAAACCGTGAGGGGCCAGTTTATTTCAGTGTCGGTGAGGCAGTGGCGGTACATACCCATGTGGCGCATACAGTGGCGATGGAATTTTGTTATGACAATACATGTAACAACTCATGCATCGTCACTTGCCAAGAACAAAGGCTGATTAGAGTGAGAGGAGATTTTATTTTCTGAGCGGAATTTTTTTCCCAATATTTTATATGCGACTTGTTTCTTATAAGCTAAAACAGAAAACAATGTGCACAGTACAACATTTACCTCATGAGAATTTGATTTTCATTGTGACTCTGGAGCTGAAATGTTTTAATTTTGTTCACAGGCTTTTTGACGTGCAACTTGTTTCCTATAAGCTAAAGCAGAAAACAATGTGCAAAGAATGTCACCTCATGAGAATTTCATTCAAAACCAAAAAGTGGAACTGAACATTTATTTTTCACATGTAATTTTTCCATGGTTGTGCTACTGTATTTTAACAAGCTCAATGTTGCCAAGATTTGAAGCCTCTTGTTTGAGTGAGATGGCTGAAACCATTGCCTCTTGTCATATTTTATGGTCTTTCTTATTAATTCAAAGTTGCTAATTCACTCTTTTCATAGTAACAAGTATATGTGCATGTACATCGCTTCTAAGGAAAAAAAAGGAGGAAAAAAAAGCTGTGTCACCGCTCCTCTTTTGGCGCATGCCTGTGACCAGAAACCAGAGTTGTTTTTATTTTGGCCTAATGAGAACTTTCTAATATTAAAAATGCCTTGAAACTTGGGGGGGTTGGAGGAACAGATGGGAAGTGCAAGAAGGAACAATTAGTGGCACATTCACAAGAAAATAAAAACTATTTGGCAAGCATGCATTCTTGTACAACCTTTAAGCCTCCATCCCTTCCAAAACAAATTTATCTTCATTTCAAAGTTCAGTATCCTCAATGTAAGTACCCACAAAATATAACACTCAGAGTGCGAATCTCAATCTGAGACATCCCCTAATAACTTTTGAGACAGGATGTTCATGACCGGTTATCTTGGTAACGACTCTCCATCATCACATCGGTATTTTCTATCTACCTTCAGCCTCGTAATGGGGACACTTCTAATTGGCATAGACAGCTGTAATGACGGTAAATGATGCCTAGTCAGGTGGGTTGGCTGACCACCTTTAACAGGCAAAGGTGAAGAGCGGGTCAATGCAACGGTAGCGTGAGTCAGACCAAAGTCTCTCAGTTACTCCGGGCTGAGTCACAACCAGGCAGGCAGGAAAGCCACCAAAAATCAATCAACGGGCACTTGCCACTCTCTCCTACCTGTGCCTACATGTACATCATCACGGCATGTCAAATGACTTCACGGCATGCTGCTATATGTCGAGAATTACTCAACCCATCAATCATATTTTTCTGTTGCAATTTGGGAGAGAATCCAGGCTACAGTTCACCACTTAGGGGCCATCAATGAAGCACGTACGCACAAATGCCTACTTTTCATACCCCCCCTCCTCTTCCACGCATGGTGTATACCGTGGCTCCACCCCCCAACCACAATCCCCATTCGCATATGCATTCCACAGTTCCAGAACACGCTGCCGGTCTTTGTGTCATGAGTAATTTTGCCGTTTACTAATAATGGGCATTGGCATGGAAGGATAAGTGGTGGGAATGGACGGTGGAGGATACGGTGTTTGAATGGTTTTTCCATGCACAGAAGCTGATTCTGGTATTTATTTGTATGAGAAAGGGTACTGATATGATGAAAATTCATGAAAGGCAAAATACATATTGGCTTGAACCCCCCTTGTACACATGGTGTATGCAACGGCACCAGCTCCCGCCCCCACGTGTACATACTTTATGGACGACCCCTTAATGTTTGCCTGGATAAGGCCCCTAATCCCCAAGTCAATCTTTGGCATTTTTTGAAGTTAATCACACCCCCTCAGGGTATACGAACAGCACAGCATGACTTTCATCAGACTCACAGATCTGATTGACCTTAAAAGAAAAAGAAACTTCCTAACTAAAACAACATATTGTACTTCCAACTTCATACAAATCTTGTGCAACATATTCAGTTTGAGGGGTATGATCTCTTATGAGTCTTCATATACATGTACATGATTTGCTCAAAACCCTACTTCAATTTCAAAACGGTGGATTCCTGTCTTTTGGGGAGATCAAAAACAAAACCTCAAGATGGTGTTCCTCAATGATGCAAGACAAGACAGAGCAGACGAAGACCCCTGACATGTTTGACTAAGTTCAAGGTTAAGACACTAAAAAGAGCCCAATCTTAAAATATATTTTACTTCTGCATTCAACGACGATACAATGCTGAGAGAGTAATACACCTCTGTACGCCTTTCAGAGCAAGGCAATTCACAAGCAAATTGATACAAAGTAACTCCAGGGGGCTGCATTAATTTTTTTCAGGTGATGACAAATCAATCCCTGATGACTAATACTCAGTAATACTTGCTTGCACAGTGCGGTTATTGTTCAAAAGTGCAGGGAACTATTGGCTTCAACCTCTGAGGTATGTTCCTGCTTGAAACCTTGGCCTCAATTCCCAAAGATCAAACACAAAGCCAAAAAAGAGACAAACCAAGACAAAACAGGACAAAAACCAAAACTGAAAGTAAAAAACGTAGCCGAAGCAAATAAATGGCACATTCTTGATACTTCAAATGAAAAGTCCAATCTAATGCAGAGAACTGTTGGGCTTTTGTCCAATACCACGATATTAAGAACATACAACAGGTGTAAGGTAGAATATTTAGCTTTATGTGAAAAGATTAAATAACCATTCATAAATACCCATTGAGAGCTCATCACATGGTAAGTCTTAAACAGTTGATAAAGCAACAGCTGTTGATTTTAACCACTTTTCTGACGTCAGATGATGTTAGACTCCTTTGAAATCAAGTTGCCTTTCCTTGTATTGGTTAATCATTCATAATCGTCACTTAGGTTTGTGTGATACCACTGTTGAGAGTCCAAAATTCAAACTGCCCTGGCTCATCACATTCTGTGCCACATGCATGCTTATCTCCATATATGTATAAGCACATACAATAACAGGACTACATGTAGATGGGTGTTTGAAAAAATGAAGTCAAATTGTTTGAAATTGATAATGTTTTAAACTTGTTTTGATTTTCTGGCTCAAACTGTATTTATGAATGCAGCTAAAGATTGCTGTGGGGTTAGACGTTGATGCCACGTCTCTTACCTAGCAGGGCAAGGCCAGAGGTTGCACGTGAAAATGCCGGTGTTTGGCTTGGCGTCGCTATCACAGAAGGAAGAATCCACCTCTGTCGCGTTATTCCTCAAGCAGGACACTTCCGATGTCATCACACCTGTGCCATGTTAAGAACAGAGCATTTACTGTTGTTTACTTTGGAAGTCATCATCCACTGTGAGTGGGACCAACAGAGGGTGCCATTTTCCTAGCAACAGAGGCTCCTCCAGTAGGAACTGCACTTGGCTGGTTCATGAACGATTGTGAAATGCAAGAATTGCCATCGCGTCCACTACCAACCAAATGTACACTCCCCACCAACAATGGCTCTTTTTAACCAATGAGGGGGGTGCACTTCTATTTAAGGTAGATAAGCAATACACCTTTCAGAAACAAACTTTTTTATCTAGGAAAATATTAGCATGTTTTCACAATAAAAAAATGGCAGAACTTTTTCCTCTGATTTTATCAACACTGTGAGCATTCACAAAATAATCCAACTGACACAGAACAAGGTCCGTGTTTTCTGAGTTCTCAAATGCCAATAGCAGGTTTTCTAACATTGTCAAAATTGTAACTTTTATGTGAGTTTGCTTTCCTTTAAATCTCAACTCTTTTTTTTCGCAACCTCCAGGACATAAGAAAATTATTGTGAAAAATTTTTTAGTATTGTGAAATATTTTTTAGTATTGTTTTTAAGTCTTATTTCTTTTATATTCAATTCATAATTTCATTTATTGTCAGTTTAGTAATGTCAAATGTGTTTCTCCTTTTTGGCACTATTTCTTTTCAGTTTTTCTCATTAACGTTTTTCTTGTAACTCTTTTCTTTACTTATTTACTTGTTAATACAAAAGTTATTTAATTGCAAGTTCAAATTAGAGCAGAGACTCCCTAGACAGGAACACAGTTTTTTCCTCAATAAATCCTTTGGGTTGTAACTGACATCTTATACTTCAGCTCTGTCCAAATGTCCTCTTTCTGAGAACTTAAACAAATACAAAATATTTTCAAGATGGTAATCTATCAAATGTGTGACTTCCGATAGTTGACACATCACTGCAGTACTAGTTACTCATCAAACTCACACCTGGAGTGACACGTAAATGAGATTTTATTATTGCAGGTTGGCCTTGTCCTTGATGTCAAGAGACGTTTTCTTACTTCAGTCTGCCAGAGTTGTTATGCTATCACTACTAAACTCATGTGAACCTTGACAGTCATCTATGAGGGCTGGGGATAACAGCAGGATGATGTTGGTCATTTCTGTGCTTTAACCAATGTCGGTGACCAGATCCCAATAAATGAGTCTTAAGGTGATTTTTTTCCATTCTGCATTGGAAGGAGCAAACTGAGCTCCGAGTTTTGATGCATTGCTCAATTTGCCACCTTCTTCAGAATTATGTGGGTGTGATATATTGAGGGGTCTTGTTTATTTTACACCTTGCATAATTTTTTTTAGAAGGCCTCTAACTCCGAAGTGGCTCTGGTGACTAACAGCTCACTTCATTTTGTTGAGTCACAATATTCTCCCCAACCACAATTAATGCAACAAGATTCTATGTGACTGTGCAACATGCATCACGACTGGGATTCCCCTGGGGTGCTGATGAGCATGACGTGGCCAACAAGGAGTTGACAAAAAACAACTCCACATGTTGCCCCCCCTGCCAACAGGGCTTCAAAGACATTCTACATACTCTTATGATACTATTGCTCCCTATCTATTTCCTCGAGCCCAGGTGGGACGTTGTCTTCATTCCGTAACGTAGTACGGTCAGGGAGTCCACCTGGGCTATATTTCCTCATAATAATTTATGATTTATGGCCTTTTCAACAGGTTAGGACAATCAGAAGAAAAACTAGAATTAGTGGAATGTGGTTTTTCTTTCTGAGGTGGTAATATTGGGCCCCAAAAGGCCACAGTTGTCACTGAAAGAAGGGGGGTGGGCTACCTTGTGCTTAAATGGGTGGAGGGGGGGGAAGCCCCACAAAGGATTGTGTTTGGTCCACATTCTTACCTCCGGCACAAGACGCTGAGCATTCTGATTCCACCAGATGCCAGGTGTAGTTGTGCAAGGGAGCTACGGTCTTGGTGTCCTGTCTCTGTATTGTGTACTGGTAGTCGATTCCTGGGTTTATGCCCTGCAGTAGTATCTGCAGTTGAGACAAAACAAACAACGCAGTCAGTCATAGCAAAGTGCACTTAAAATGTACTGACTTCTGTGCGTAAATTTAATTAAGTACCAAGTGACCAAATAAAGTCACTTTTATGACAAACTGGATATACATGCCACTACTAGGACAATTATCTCTGCCCCCAAAACATGAAACAAACAAGCAAAGAAAACAACAAAACAAATAATACGAGGCAAATTACACAAAAAGAAGAAATACACTGGTGGGAATGCATTTGTGTAGGGTTTTTAATCTTGTCTGTTTGAGCTCATATGAAAAGTATTTCACTCAAAGTGTGTGAGTTGGAAAATGAAACTGACAAGTTTCAGCCACTAGATTCTAATAACATAGCAACGCTGCACAGCCAAGATGCAAGAAAACCTTAATTCAAAGTGTTGACTGACTCTCTGATGTAAATTACCTTGTACATCAATGTCTTCATCAAACTTTGAAGTGGTTGTTAAAAACAAACTCTTCTTTTAATTGGGAGATACATTTAACTTTCCAGGATGCATCAATTTGTTTCATATAATGCCACATCTTTAGAATTTAAGGATCACCAAAATAAAACGGTTTTGATGTGGTTTTAAAAAATGGTACATCCCATTTGTTTTATAACAATCCGATCAACTATGCTTTAATTTGGGGGAGTTTCTCTGTATTAGTAAACCTCTTAAACCATTTTAAGTTTAACTGGAGATACTGTTACTTTTACCAAGCAGAGAGAACTTTTAACCCCACCCCAAAACAATCTAAGCCTAATATTACAGCCTCTAGTTACATGTAAGTTTTCCTTTGATGCAGATGGTAAAAAAAGTGGAGCCATTTAATATTTTAAAATTCAAAAGTCCTTCAAGTGGAAGTTACTGACAGTGCTTTTTTTTCCATTTTGCTTTTGTTTCTCAGCTAACCACCACCAAAATGTTTAGAAATTCTCTTCTAGACAAAAATCATTCAGAAACTTTTCATTCACAACCCACAAATTACTACTAACACTGAACAACCCGTCTTACAAAAGCAAAAGCAAAGCCAAATTTTGAGGGTCCAACTTGCACAAAATCTGCTGTAAAAGTCCGAGTCAACACTTGCTGCCCGTACTCTGTTCCCAAATAGCAGCCAAGCCAGTAACATGTGAATAAGCACCAAGTTCAAAAGGTCTTCCCACAAGTTGTAAATCTCAATATGTGTGTCCGAAAGGTTAAGAACACAATTCAAATTACAGTTCAACTGCTGCAAAGAGTTCATTGTCAGACTCAAACTGAGATTTATGACAATTTTGGGCGGTGCACGCTCTCAGATACAACTATACATGTACTTGTCCACTGACTATTCACTAGGTCCCCAGTGATGACAGAAATCCCTCTGGGCCTCATATGCCAATCTCAATTTCCATTTCAGTGGATCCGTTACAATACATTAACTTCACTGGGTTCATATGACCCTTGATGAAACCGAACTGTCTGACCCCTCATTAGCTGTTTACACTGATTGAGTCACATGTACAGAATGCATCATAGAAGACATGCATCCTGTTTGAGCAATGAATCACTGAGTCCATCACTTGTAATCTTGAGTGGATCAAAATATTACTTTTTCTAATGTCCAAACCAGCAGTTTGGTTGGTGTCCCCCAGGGTGTAGTCATAATTAATAGCAATAACATAACCTACTTAAAAATAGAAACCTACTTGTGTCCGGGCCCTTTACAACTTTGTGTTCCTGTACTAGTTACAGACTCTAGGTACACGTACTGCTTAATGGTGAGAAAGACAGAGAGTGATGTGACAGACTATCAAGCCATGTCCGAATCAACAGGCTTTAACCGGGAATAACATGGACATCAATGAGAAGTGACTGTCGCCACTAACTAGTGGCTTCCATAGAGGTATGTATTACATGTACTTCCAGCCGTAGCCACAACTTTGAGCCATGGCCTCAGTACCCATCCTAAGACACTACCGTTTTAGTGCACATCAAGGTGGAAATTAGCTATTTCCCACAATGTACACATGCAACTAAATTCAAAATGGACTACTTGTAGTACTCTTCCCACATTAGAAACTTTCAGGACAGTATAAAAAGAACAGACTATTCGCATTACAAAGTTTATCTTCATTGAGTACATGTACATACTCACTTCAGCTACACCAATAAACTCAATGAACAGTACCGAAGGGTTAGGCTCATATTGTGCATTTACTTAAATCGGAGCAGACTGCAAGTTGTGTATACTTCTATCCACTCATGAAAGGTGATAAAACTGACACCATAAAGACGAGGAATTCTGGAAGTAAAAACAAACCCACCTTAATAAATAATGCAGGGTAATAAGGTCAAATTAAGGTCACAAGCGATAAGGGGAACAAAGAACTCAGAATTTACTCTATTATCTCTCAAGGGCTGAATTCTCCATGCACACCTGTATAAATTTCAAATGTCACACTAACAATCCTGGCGGGTGACAGAAAATCCACTTAAAGGTGTAAAAGGCACTATTAAAACCTACTCCAGCAGTCTCATAAAACCATGGCTCAATTTTTTGTACTCTGCACTGTTTTTACAAAATCCACTCCCTTCCTACCTCGATCACCAGATCTTCAGAAGTTGGGCCCACTGCTTGTAAGTATTCCGGCATGTTGTACGGCCTTCTGTACTCGAACACCGTGCCGGCGATGTCAAAGTTTCCAGGCCAGTCCACAGTCCAGGCTCCCGTAAGGTAGTACTTGAATCTGTCGTTGCGTAAAGCCAGATAGCTGGTAGACATTGACAGCTCAGTAACCCTGATGTGCCGAGCACCAGCCGGTATCTTCACCACCAGGTAGTAATCTGCAAAGGCAGTTAACCACAAAAAGCTTTCAGAATTCTCATGTTTCATCAACTCGAAAAGTATTAGCCATGTACATGTATAACAGATTTGAATATGCTATCCTACTCACATTTGAGTCTTAAAACTCATTTGAATGAGTAATATGATTTACACAGGTTGAGTTCAACTCCATATCACCCCTAACAATAAAATTTCCCTAGAAATAGGATACAAAGGGTATTTTAGATTTAAGAGGTTCGGGTAGTCATTACAATATCAACATCACTTTCTTAATCCATGCTCGGTGAAAAAGAGAAAATACTAGTTTACAAATAATGACTTCATATTCAGAGCAAATATTTACATCCTTAAGTATGATTCATGTGACATGAAGTACTGCCCATGACCCCTTATATTTCAACTCAACAACCGACGAAGAAAACATGGCATCTTCTTGAGTGCTAGGATAGGTGTGGGAGTGACCAAGTGGTTAGACACTGAAGTCATGACCTTGAATCCCACCCAAGGAGTTCCAAGCGTGCACTTGTCTTCCCAAAAGGTTCTTACAGAAGGCTAGGAGTACCAAGTGCAATAAACAGATGGCTGATCTGAACCTCATTTATTCCCCCTCATGTTTATGTCAAACAAATTCCTGCTGAAGTGGGCGTTAACCTTTGCTGACCCCCGCATTGCTATATAGAAGAACATGGGTATGACAAATGCCATAATGTGCATTTTAGCAAGGATGGAATCAGCATAGGAGACAATCAATTTTACAGGATTTGCGATGATTAGAACTCTACAGTAAGCTCCGACTAAGTCGGCATCGCATAACTCGTCATATCGTCTAAGTCGGCCTTTTGGCAATAGTCCAGATCATCTGTAATGCATTTCCATTGAAAATATCATTTCTAAGGCAGCATTTATAAGTCTTCACTTCGGTCCCTTTTGCACAAAACCACAAAAATTCCTTTGTGTAAGTCCGCATTAAAAAGAGTTTTGGTATCACTTTCCTTTGCCATGGTAGCCAAAAAGTGTCAAGTGGCAAGTCCCGCACTGCTTGACTGATGTCTGTTTATTAGCAGCACAGGCTTAATTGATCGGCCAACGTGAGTACATCAACACCAGTTACCCCTCTAGTGCTACAAATGCACTCTATCCATTTGGGACTTATTGAACGAACTTAACAAATGCGTTTGCAGATGAGTGTATGTTTACTGTACTATAAAACTGTAACACGTCCATACTACACTGTCAAATCGTGATGTGATATGCAAGTGGCTTCCGTTGTTGCTTCGTCCTTAGGGGCACATGATCAATTATCCAATTTGCAGCCCATGAGGATAATATTGAGAACGAATTTGCTGGGATCGACCATGGAGGCAGAAGTGGAGTGCAAGGAATCATAATGTACATAGGCAATACATGTGTACTTGTAGGTCAGCAAAATGACGACTTACAACACAAGTCAGCATTTGCGGCATTCGCGGCATTCGCGTACGTCATCATAATTTCTTGAGTCCCAAGAAAGCCGACTTAGCCGGAGTTTACCACATTTCCAATTTTCACAATGATGATAAGATAAAAATTGTTTCTCTGTTAATATACGGAAGCCCTATAAACCATAGCAGGTTTTTATTTTGGCGATCAGCCTTTCCTTCACATCCTTGTTAATTAATGTGTTTTTATGATGACCAATGGCCAAAAGGTCCTGACACCGGAAAAGTGCCAAGGAAAATATCACAGCTCATCTGGAGATCAGGACTGGGCAAATCCACCAGGGACTCGGGCTGCATGTGGCAATCTAGTCAACATTCCTCCCCTGTTGGTAGGACACTATCTGCAGCAATTCAATACAGCCAGCCTTGAACCTCTCTCCACTCTTGTATTGTGAGTGGATTAGGGTACTAACAGGCCTTTAACCCTCCTATGCTGAAGTCACTCTTTGGGTTAAAGCACTACTCTCAGGGTTATCTCGGCCAAGGAATGACTGACCAGCATCTGTGCTAGTGTTAGTTTCTTTTTCTCCTCTAGCAGATGTTTAAGCTCCCAATATTGAAGTTGGAGAGTTGAGGGCTCTGCCCAAAGTTAAAAGATCGAACAGAAATATTAACTGCAATACATTAGACATAAATAATGATAACAAACTTGATTCTACTAATATTTTTAGAACAAATCCTACCTGGGCTAGCTTGAAGTTTGAGAAATCACTGTGAAAAGTGAATAGATTTGTCATTCAGAATAACTTTATTCTATCATTTATATATGCAAATAAAAAGCATAAATTTCAATCATAAACATGTGTTGGTTTCATCCACATTGTCAATTTGCCTACCATGCCACTGCAAAACACAGGAATGCCGTCAACTTCTATTTGGTATGTATCAGACAGGACAGGCACAAGTCGAATGCATAGTGCACTTCTTGACAGAACTTTCGCCCTTTGATAAAAAAGTAATAAATGGGTCCTTCTGGGAGTGTTCCGTTGGGAATGGACACTACAGCTAATGTTTCCTCAGGGAATTTCCTAATATTTCCTACTGGATATGAGGGAATTTTTTATCTTGATGGAAACAGCATATGTCCCCATTTGGTAGAATATGGGCTGGTTCTCTCCAATCATAGATCAACAAATTGCAATACTACAGGATGGGAATCCCATTTAGGGGATTGAACATGTTTTCAAGAGCCAAAAGGGGAAACGGGGACCCAAAATCTCCATTAAGATAAGAGAACGGGGTTGACAACTTGTAATAGGGCCTACATCAGGGTTTACCCTTGGCATTTCCAGTCTCCAGCAAACAGTACAACACAAACATTCCTCATTGATCTGACAGAGCTGTCATTAAGTTAACTGGCAGTGACCCTTGACCACAGTGGTATAATGACTACAGGAGGCAATTAAGACATACACATCACAAAAGTAATGTTTTATTTAAATTGTAAACTGTTAATAATATGCATTAATCCCGTTACAAATGGTAATCAACAAAGATAAAGATTTTTTCATCTTTTCATAATTCTGGAACTCAGTGTGACATATCTCCTTTTTCCATCTGCATAATGTCAAGTTGTTGTTTTTTTTTAGATCACAGCTTTCATTTGTACACTTGGGACAAGAAGTTTACACATAGGCCTATACCTTCATGACAAAAGTCTGGAAAATTGAGAATCTCAAAGTTTATCGCAACAGGCAAAAAAATCTGAGCACAATTCAACCCTAAACCCCCCAGTTGGTGGAAGTACATGAATGTGTAAAATGTGTATTAACATTGGTGGATTTGAGAAGGTTAACCCTAACAATCCCAAATCCTCCAATTTCAATACGATTTTACATACACCCTTGGAGGTTAGGGTTAAAGAACAATGACTGTTTTCAAATGTTGTCTGCATAGGCATTCTGTAAGTTCTAGCTTCAATTGTATCAATTTACAAATAATGATGTGTTATTGCACCAAGGAACTCAACTTCCTTTTTCAGTTTCAATTCTCACAACTTGTTCCTGAATCACAATTTCGGTACCACATGTTAACGATTAGCCAATTTGTAAGACAGTCTCCGAGTAAAGCTTCTCTGCCCCGCTCAGAGATTTGAGAAGCTCCCTAATTGCAACTCGGCTTGTCATGTCCCAAGACAATGTCACTTCCACATGGCACATTAACAGATGTGAGGTGGTAAGTTGAGTCTTGACAGGTTCTAAATATACTGACCGTTCTCAGTGTGCTGTTCGGAGTACACCCCTGACACAAATTCGCAGGTGGCATTGTTTCCTTGGCACACACCACAAGCATCGGGTTGAGCATCCGACCCCAACACATGATCACATCCGACTTTCTATAAACAGCAATGCAGTGCCAAAAAAAGGCATGTCAGGACCTATGCCATTCTAGGGACCTAGAACTACATTGATCTATGACAATGTATACGTATATGTATCTTCAAACAGAATGCACACTTTTAACACATCCCTTTTATTTAACCTATTATTGTATGCACCCTCCACCCTCCCCCCATAAAAATGTCCTACTAGTTATTCCCTGTAATGTCCCAAACTACCAAAGCATTACAGATTCATAAATGCACGAATGAAAAGTAAAACAGTTTAAGACAAGTGGTAATGATTGAGCCGTTCAGAGAAATTCTTTGAAACCTTTTCGTTACTTCCAGGTTTCTGTGGTATTACTGCACATTTCTTCCTTAACCCCCCCTCCCCCAATGGTGACAAAGAGCAGATTTGTAATGACTTGAGTCCGACAACTTTTGTCAACTTGACTTGAGTCTCAACGTGTAAATGACTCAACTCGAGTCTCTGTGACCAAATGACTTGACTCGAATCTCTCATTGGGACTCGAATCGAGTATAAGCTTATAAAACTCGAGTCTCAACAAAATTAAAAGCAAAATTTTAGTTGGCTAGATACCTGTTACCCTATAAGTATAAGCTTATAAAACTCGAGTCTCAACAAAATTAAAAGCCAAATTTTAGTTGGCTAGATACCTGTCACCCTAATTTATTTTCAGCATGTCCTCATGAAAATAACAATACCAAAAAATGCCTTACATGTAGTTGGGTTTTTAGTGTATTTTATTCACAAATTGGTGACTTAAATTGACTCGAGCTCCATACTTGACTCGACCTGACTCCACTACACAAAGTGACTCAACTCAACTTTTTGACCTAATGACTCGACTCAACACGAGTCACAATGTTAAAATGACTTGACTCCAATCACCAATTTAGTGACAAATGTGAATACCACCTCTGCCTTATGCTGGGACCTCACACACTCAGTTCTATTGAAGAGTCAAATATCACCTTTTACTTCTCCTAGTAGGATTCACATTCAATCCTCTGTCACATTTTTACTGGTTCACAAGCTAAAGATTACAACATGGGCCAATTTCACAGTGATTTGCAAAGGGAAAGCAATAGTTCCTTAGCACCAGCAGTGTACCAGCCTCAATATCACACACTACTGGTAAAAATTTCTTTTGACTGCTTTTCAGGGAATTTTCAATCAGTACAAACTGCTATTTAGCTGGTGGCTCTATAACATGGGTCCAAAACAACATCTAAGGTACCCAAATGACACTGCCAAATGACTATACCAAAACCTGCAGGACCTTTTGCAGCTTCTTCAAGATTCTGTAGATTTTTCGAGGCTCACTTAAGATTTCATTACCCCTTTGTTGTATTTGTCATATGATGTTTGCATGTGCAAGTATTTCACAAGGCTTGATACATGTATTTCATACCTACCTCACACACCCCATTCACACATGTGTCTAGGCTGTCATGACTACATCGTGTCCCATCATGCACCTTGGAGTTTAGCGGGAAATAGAAGTCATATCCCTCGGCTATGCAGTATAACTTGCAAGCCTCTTTCCCTGCAGTAGAAGGAACAGAAAGCATTCATTTGACAAAAACCACTGAACGTTGTCTAGAGTGAATACTCACGATAGCATCCAACATGGCATGTCCCAAGCTCTGGGCACTTTGATTTTTTTTCTCCTACACTCTGCATGAGAGACAGTTTTACCCCAAGCTGCACAGAAAATTTAATTAGGTTCAAAATGTTCCCTTTTCATAAATCTTGGGTTTGGTAACCCCATTCTTTTGGCTCACTTTTTTTTCCACGCTTTGAACCATTTTAAACTGCTAAACCGAAAACGTTTGAAAACTGCTGACAGAAACAAAGTTTGGTATGTCAATCTTCATTAACCATGGTAACAGTAGTTAATGGAGATTTGTAAACTTAGTTTGCCAAGCACACAAGGTTGGGGGACTGTAAGTCCTACTCTCCATGCTAAATTCACCTTTTTGAAGTTCCAAGCAAATTTAAACAAACTTTTTAAAATGATGTGCAACCCGTGGCTAGCTTTATCAAGGCAGCAGTACCAATGTTGAATGAATCTAAAGCTCATTAATCGAGTGAAAAGGACACTGAAAAAAAGTGAAGCGCCCCAAGGAACTCCACTTTATTTGAAATGTGGAGACGACTGGTGACTTACTCTCAGTATGAACATAGGGCTGCCATTGGTAATAAGACCCTCTAAAAGGTCGGCCATTGTAGGCCGCGCACTGCTTAGCTCGAAAGTCAATGGCATCTGGCTCACATTCCTATGGGAACAAAACAAGGACATCAAATCCAAATCTGCTGGGATACACCTGGACCGTGTGATTTCAAGAACCCTTACATATTTCAACTGTATGTTTTATAAGTTGGCAAAGACAGGTGTCAAGAGAAGATCTGGGATTTTCAGATGAGGGGTCAGACCTTTGGAAAGAGCAAAGATCAGACGTTTTGAAAATGCGGGATCAGGTCTTTTGTGCTTTCCTTACCAGGTAGTAAATTTCAGTTTTGGACATTAATGAGCCAGGTTCTTGAATGCACAAGGGATACACGTATGTCTGAATGAATTTTTTGTGCATGCAAAAGTTTCAGTTTATTTTCAAAAACTGACCTCACTCTTTGTAACAGAAAAGTGGAGGGGGGAGGGAATAGGACAGTCTTGATCCATCCCACTAGATCAACCTCTAAGCTTTAAGACTGTTAATAAGCTAAATGAAAACTTACCGCCCCCCAAAAAAAAGAGACAGATGAAGATAAAGAACTTAAGGACCACCTCCCTTGTCCCGGCAGATTACAAAGAAAGTGCGTGTCTTCACACAGGAAATTACTGTTACATACACGTGACAAATGATTTTTTTCTTGGTTTGAACATAGCATTCAGAGGCAATCTGCACCTTGGGGGTTCGGTCAAGGATCCCTTCACTGCTGACACTGTGCATTAATCATTGTACGGACGTGACTTTCCTCCCCCTACCTGTATGTTGCACATTCTGTAGATGTGGCTCGAGCCCTCACAGTACCGGCCGCCATTCTGTGGCTCGGGGTTGTTGCACAGCCTCTCCTTGTGCTGTATCCCTCCGCCGCACGTCCTGGAGCAGGGCGAGTACTCACCATACTCTGACCAGTTGCCGTGGACAGGCTGTGGCCCGCGCTTGTCGCGACTGACACAGTCCCCTTGTATGCACCAATGCTGGAAGCCGCAGGAAGTGCCATCTGCGGCGGGTAGGAACTTGGTTTCACACCTTCTCTCGTCGCGGTGGCACCAAATGGACTGGCAAAGGGACTGGTAATAATAGTAAGAAAAAAAAAATGAAATTATGACCAATGCCACCATGAACTTAGCTCACATGGTTATTGATGTCTCGCCAAGTTTGTGTGGCAAAACCACCAACATGTACATTCAACAAGTCACAGATTTATGTCCACAAGAAAGTTTGATATTTCAAATTCAACAGGCTAGGAAACTCAGTTCTCACAAGTGAGAGCAGTACGGAGATACTAACAGTAAGAATAAAAATCACCCAGTTCGAAACAAATATGAATGTTCAGTGCGAAATTTGTAATTTGTGGTTGGCTTTTGGATATCCTCCATGTTACAATGTGTGCTGCTCAATGCAAATGTGCCCTAAAATATGAAAGATTTAAATTTTTATATGAGAACCAAAGACCAAAATGTAACTAAAATGCAACAAACTCAGGAATCTAACTGAAAAATCAATCTTCCTTGTTTTTGCATACAAAACAATTTCATATTAAAAAAGATTCTACATTCTTTGTCAGCTAATATGAAGTCCATGTTCACACCCCCCCTCCCTGTGACTTAACTGATACTGACACAGTGACATCAACAGTAACATGCCATTGTCACTAGGTACGCCCAGATGCGCATAGGTCACGCATACTCCATATACTTACAAACCAGAGCACACAAGTACTGTCCCCCCCCCCCCAAAAAAATTGCCTCTCGTGTCAGGGGGAGTGAAACCGCTGTCCCTACATAGACTTCACAAGTTTGACAGATGTATGATTTTGCACTGAAACACCACAAAAGAATCTATCCATTTCAGCCTCAACAACGTCAGTCACTGAACGCAGGGGATTAGCACAAATGCAGACCAACAAGTGACTCATAACATTCAGGTCACAGGTCTGACAGATCCATCTGGCACACACACGTACATGAATGTAGCACGTTATTAAGAACTTCACACACTGAGCGCTGAACGACAAGGGGAAGCTGATGGTGCTAAGTTGTGCTGTCATCTGATACTGAACATTTTAATTAGCCAACTAGTTGATTGATTTTGACATTGAAGAAAATGATCCTAGTAACACTAGACAATATGTAATACTAAAATTCTAAGTTTAAGAAAACTGGTCCCTTTTTGGCTATGTCACAATAACCTTTCATCATCTACATGTGTAAAAAAGTCGATCAGGGTACCCACATTCCAAGACTAATGGTGATCCTTGAAACATGACTAAAGAACTTTGTATTGATATTGAAAGGGTCCAGGGTTATTAAATTACATATTTTTAAAAATCAAAGCCGCAGAAATATTATGACAGTGTTTTGCACTTAGTATAAGAAAAAAGCCAGCTGATCTGAGGACAAGCTGCATGCCTGCAGTCAGCCTGAAAATCCATGCCCGCGAATATCAAAATAAAATATTATTAGAAAGTTTTGGAAGGCCAAATTTTGTCTTGTTGGATAATTTCTATGGAAAACCTTCTTCTCACATTTCCAGTATTTTAAATAACTTTCTTTACAGAAATGGCAATATTGATTTGTGAAACAGGCATGACCTTGTTCCAATTTCCTGAGACTGCTTGAAAGCAAGGGCATTGATCTTTTCTGAAAAGTGGGGGGGGGGCATAGTAACTTATCAACAGCAAAAAACCAACGCAAAAGTGAAATGAATAGCCCTTAAGGGCTGTATGGTATCCAAGTCTCAGGGGGTACATTCAAATTTGTTCAAACGTCCATGAAAGAATCCTCAACCATCCCCACCCAAAAAATAGAAAGATGGCAACATTATTTCTAGAATGCTGGTGCTTTCAACTCCTAAAAGGGGCAACATGCCTCAAATTTGAAGTCTAGATGTTCCTTGGATGTTACGATCATCAGCAGTATGGAGGCGTTCTTTTGGCTCCTATGAGCTGCAAACCCAAATGTGGACCTAATATTTTTATTTAGCTACAAAAAAGTGGGTGGAGCAAACTACATGATATCCCCCATCCCCCGCTGATTGACACCTAAAAATAGCAGAAAGCAACATTTAGCCATTTTTTGTAGTTGGTCATGATCCCCTTACAACCAGTCCTGATGTATACAAATTGCATGGCATTCTAGCAGGAAACCAGCTTTCACCGAGCAACTATTTCCTTTGCTTTAATAGCAAATTCCTGTGCTCTGAGCAGTGCTGTTCAATTGGCCCCTGGACTGATACAGGCTGTGGGAACTGGCTGCAGCTCCCAAGCATAGACTCGGACGTAATTTCAAGGCTGCAAAAAGTAATTCGGACATGGCCACAATTTCATTCGGACAGACTTTTGTTGCCCTCTCAGAACCTAACTGGAGGGCAATCCAATTCCAGGCATTGGTCACATGCAGCCGCTCACCTTCCCAAAGTTGAACGAACAGAGCCGTGCCCTGGGCCCAAACTGCCACTGACACTGCTTATCAGCATCATACAGCTCTCCTGGGAGCTTGCTGGGAAACTGGTACTTGGTGATCCCCACAGGTTCATCCTCTGTGCACCTGGCTCGATTGGACCTAGAGAACCAAACACCATAATAAATATACATGCATGTACAATAAAAACTATCCAATTTACAAACCAAGGCTATAGCCAGAGGTTTGTCTATGACTGCGCTAGACATCAAGCAAACTGACACACTGTTTTGGACACTAATTTTGTGATGCCAATAAAAAAACAGGTAATTCTGACTCCCCGATGTTCAAATCAAGGTGAACTTGTACAGGCTGAACATTTTGACATTCATGGACAAAATCAATAATGTTATAAACAGGCAAAAAATATATAAAATTAGGTTGCTACTACAAAGACCCGTAGCCAAGCACAGTAACGTGGTATTTCTTTTTGTCATTACTAACCCAAGGAAAGTGGTAATGTAGTCTTGACTGCATGGGGACCAGTGGAACCGGCCGTTGTTGCCCGACAACGTCGGCGACATGATGTAGCCGCTGGACTTCTTACAGTCATTCCCGTCTCCATCATGGACCATTCCAAAACTGCAAACAAGCAGTGCATATTTTGTTGATATTAAATATCAACTTCTGTTTGGAACAACGGAGCTGTCAGTCACGGCTCTAGTTTACAGCCAAAGAAGACAGCCGTGACACAGGGTGGGACAACACGGATTACGCTTGAGACACAAGCCAGAGTGGTGTAAGTACTTGAGCTTTTTATGATGGGCTTTTCATAAAAGGCATGCTGAAAATGTCAAGTACATGTTTTGGGGCCTTTCCACAAATATTTGGACATTTCTTGCATGCCTGTGTCAAGCCCTGCCTCCAAACACTCATATTCCCACTCATCTCAAGTACTCGGTCAACACAGCCTTGGCGCTTTAGGCCTGACTCCTAATAACCCACACCACACTTCGGTGCACTTGAGTACTTGGAAAAAGGGCTTCATGAAAACAGTGCTGTAGTTAAGTGCACAGGCTTTAAACCAATCTCAATTGTACTGTCCATCCAAATCTACCCTCCCCAGCAGAGACAGTCCACATCTCAGCACAATCTACGTTACTCCCATCCTCTGCTGGGCTGTGTACACTCTGCTAAAATTTCTTAAGCTTTTACATACACCCTAATTTGCCACAAGTGAACCAATGCTTAAACACAAAGCACTCCCGCATTTCATTTTCATGATCAGACCACAAGGAGCCCTAAAAATCCATCTGCGCAGCTAGCACATACATGTACATGTAGCACCAGTGGCATGCATTCCACTTCTTTATCTTAGCTATGGTTTGACACATACATGTACGTGTACACACATCACATTTCATCACACTCAACAGTGCTGGCTGTCATCTTGCATAATTTCAAAAATCCTGATGTAGACAAAGTTGTGGGCCTATGCGGGAGCATGCACAATAAAGGCATTCAAAACCATAGAGGTAATACATTATTCCTCTGTCCAAGGCATGCATGTACAACAAAGTAACCCACATACTGGTAGGTCATCGATAACGATAAAGTTTCTACCACTGATGCTCGTGTAATCCTTGTTACGTACCTATGACCAGATTCATGAGCCACAGTGAATGCCAGTCCCAAGCCTGTGTCTTCATTTATCGTGCAACTCCGATATTTGCTGCACATTCCACCGATTGGAGCAAAACCTGAGCAAAATTGCCATAAGAAACACACAACTAATTACAGCAAGATCAAATGTGTAATAACATTTTGTATAACCTTCAGTCTCATGAAAAACACATCTGGAACCGTACAACCATGGTTGAGCTGACCTTTGAAGTGCTTCAAAAAGTACTCCAGTGACTAAAAAGTGAAAGCTGTGATTTATAGGGGCTAGATGTCTATGGCAGATACACCCCTCCAAAACTGTTGAGCACAAAGTTGAACTCTGAAAAATTGAAATACTTCATGCACTGGATATGACATTGTCATTCACCAAACTGTTCTCTTACAAGGATAACCTGCATTTGTTTCATTTAAGAAGTTGAGGAGTCATTTTTTAAAAGTGTGCTAACATGTAACCTTAGTCACAACTGAAAATCCCATTTCAAATATTTTGACAACTAGCGGCAAAATCAAAGCAAAAATACCTACATGTATTTGACGTTCAGGTCAACATGCCCTCTTAATTTCACGACCTCAGATTTGAACACTTGAAGTTTTTAATGGTTGGATGGTGGCCCATCCATTAAAGGAAGCTCATCACGTTATAAACTGCCGGCACGTTTGCCGTGGGACAAATTCCAACTTTATCTCCCCCCCTCAATTTGCAGCAGCATTGTGGCCTCATAATAATCTTTAAAAGTTCTGCTGCTTTCAATCACAGGTACCCTGATGACTTCAGGATTGCACAGGCAAACCCTTGTCACTTTACGCACATGACCCAATATCAACATTCTATTCAAGTACGCAGAGGACATTGCTAGTTGTGCTGTTCAATTTTCGGAAGATGCTGGAGGCTTGTACTTTGGAGTATTCCAGTCTGTCTGAACACTGCAAATGAATTCATCAGCATCATCACCGGCATCAACAAATTGCACACTTAAGGGCTTTGTCTAGACAAGGGATGGTAAAATTAAAAATTCAGGCGAATGATACATCATTGTCAATAAGGAACACGAGACAGTTGACCTTGGTCATAAATTGTTCAAAAATGAAAGCCATAATAATGAGACGAAATAGCATTGCCAGCCTTCAAAATGCACTTTCAGGTAGGAGCAGCCCATTGTGAGAGTTGTGATTCTCAATTTACATCCAAAAGCATTTTTTTTTTTCAAATTTTCTAGGCGATTTATTGCGATTGATACCCTTGTAAACTGCCAGTGATGTGTACCGTGACTCATCGAGACAGTTAAGTTGTATGCGTTTTCCATTACGCACATACCTAGTGTGTCACAGGGCTCATTTTTCCAGGAGCAGATATCCATGCCAGTCAGCAGGATCGCATGGTCATGTTGGCTGCCATTTGGCGTGGTTAGCGTTGACTGCCACTGGCAAAAGCTATTCAAGGAGTGGTCTGCGTGATGGTCAATGTTTAACCCAGGCTACAAACAAGAAAGAGAAATAATTAGGAATTTGTCTCTTCCAATTCTACCTCTGCACATACCAGAAGATGAAAAAGTTATGTGGTTGAGGAAATTGAACTGATTGCCATACAACACAGTTTGGTGCTGTGTGGCCCAAAATCCATGAAAGCCAAAGAACAGAAAGATAACGGGAGATAAATCAGCTGAAATGCTCAATATCAAATGGTGCAAAAGACCTACAACCACACAAGTGTCAACATTGACAAATTAAATTGTGTTCACATGAGAAATGAAGTTCCGGAGAAAGAAAGTACCAGCACCCTTGGCACTTGCATTCAGTATGTTTGTGGTTTTTACAATTTTTTTTTTTAAATTTGGACTGTCTACATAAGGGAATTGCCACCACAGCAATAACAAACAAACAACAAAAAAAACATGCAGGGTATCCTTTAGAGAACGTGTTGTATGGAATTTGGAATAGAACAGACAGAAATTGGGAAAAACCACCCAACAAATAACTTGATGACTGACCATATTACCCAGCCATGGAGACAGCAAAAACTAAAATACAATTTGAAAAAGCAAATCCAAGAAAAACTACATCTTAAATGAACAAACCTTAATCCTATGCAAAGATGCATTCTCAACACACTTGTCCTATCAGTCAAAATCAATCGAGTGACATGTAATATGTCAGAGTAGTGTACAAGGGAAGTGGAGGGCATTTTTGACTGTTTTTGACAGTTACAGGAAAAGGAGGGTTTTTACATGAATTAACATGAAAGAAATAAGTACCAGCTGGTTCTGCCATAAATTTCCTGATTTGCTTTTATGATACCAAACTATGTGAATCGATAGAAACAAACATTGAGAAAAAAAATGACAACTGCCAAGGTACCAAATAACTTGAGCCATAAATTAAAACTCAAGTGTTACTCACTTTCACAGGAAATTAAAGGTATGGCCAATTACAAGTCATTTCCTCAGAAGCGTTATCTAAATATACTTTATCAATGTACCAGTACATATGTATGTTATCAAGTAATTTTCACACAGGTCTTCCTGCTCCTTACAATCATTTCGTTCACTCTATGCCTGTTAGGTGTCTAAACATATTCTCTCATCTCATCACGACTACTCAAATCCAAAACCATTCTGGTAATATACATGTATGCAGCTAGTCCCAGAAAACTTGGAGATAAGATGAAGATCACCAGATGCAGGTATATGTACATGTACAAACAACGCATACCAAGAAAGTGACATCACTTCCCCCCACAGGAACTTGACACATCAGGCAAAACCCAGTGTAATAACACGTGTATCATTGCTCTTGATTTTTTGCAGGGCAGATGGGTCAATCTATAACTTAGTGGGTTCAATTTCTTTTTTCAGGTGTCTCTGCTATATCGGACGTATGATTTTGTACATTTAGAACATTCTTTAATTTTCAATAGTGATTAAGTAATGCAAATTACCTGCCAAACAAATAACGATATGATGAAGTCAACTGCAGTGATATTTTCCCACAGGTCAGGTGCAAAAGTGACACAAGAAGAATTGTCACACTTTAGGATGCCAAGTTTATAGAATCACCCAGATACTAAGTACCAACTTGTGCACTGACACACGTGCGTATACCGTACACATATCTACCATCTACCGTACATGTACCTCGGCATTGACAAAATTAAACCCACGCAGAGACTGATAAAATAATTACGGCACTCATGCACTGAAGATCTAAAGTCAAGGCTCCGACATCAGAATAACAGCAACTACACATACTGTTCCATGTACCTTCACAGGTCAGAACTACTGTAGGGATGGGGAGGGAGAGTGGCTTGAGCCATGATCAATCAACCAAGAGAAACCAACAACAACTATTTGACTTATCCCTACAAGTTCAATTTGATGTGATTCAATTAACCCTGAATCTATACTACAGAAAATTAGAAGCAAATCTTTATGCATTCTTTTTCCAAGTTGCCTGTTCGTCTCACGCTTCATCTTTGACTCCAGAATCAGCTTCAGTCAATTGCACTTTTGTGAACTGATGAGAAAATACCCCATGCTTTTTGCCTCACATCAGTTTGATTTTTCTAATGCAAATAACATAGAGCCACAAAGAACAGAAGGGGCTCAACGTTGGGGACTAGATTTCCAAAACTGAACCCTACAGCCTAAAAGAACTGAGGTTTGGATAACCTCCTACCTGTAGATATAAAAAGGACCCTGGAGAAAGTAGATCAAAGAGTGGGGTGAAACCGGCCCATCCCATGCTTACCCTCCTCATACCTCCATGTTGGTTGAGCCCTTTTTCTAAAAAAATATTTCATTGTGAGGTTCATGAGAAAGCATTAACTTTCTGATGTGCAACACATTTCCGCACACTTAAGTCACATAAATGTAAATGTTTGCAGTATTACGGGAACACCCTGTTTGTGAAAATCATTCTTTGATAAGTAAGTCAGACAAATCAAGAGATAAAAGGCTACGCAATGTCAATGTCATTCAATGCCACCGGTGTACTATTCTTGGTGGTGGCACTGTTTTCACAAATTACCACATCTCCCCAGGCCGGGCATTAGTTTGCACGAGATTTGCTGATTGGCTCCGTCCCTAAGGAGGGTTTCAGTACGTGTAAGACTGCAAGGACCAGCGCTAGGGCCCAGCCATGATGCAGGAAGCCTGGCAGAGTGCAACCTCCCCAGGTGCTTTCCTAAATTTCAGGTATGCTCCCTCTTAGGACCTTTTGATGGTGACTTTTTGGCATTACTTCCTGCTGGATGACTTTGACGAGCGGAAATGTTGGTGAACTGAACTGTTCTTGAAACTCAAGTGGATCCCGCCATACTCTGTGCTTGGTGTTGGGTCTAAGATTTTTCCAAAAGGGCCATCAGTCAGTTTATGGAAAAAGAGACCAAAATCCCTGAGAATGAACTGAAATGTGCAATACTGAACATTTATGAAGGTATTCCAAGAGGCAAAATAAGAGATTTGGGGGTTTGGGCCACCCTAACCATTTCAAGTATGTACCCTCCCAAACCTACCCTTGCTGTTATTGGTTCAGAAAGTTCTGAGAACAGATTCATGTGTGTCAATACAATCAGCAACTTCACCAAGAGACAGCATTTCAGTCTCCATGGTGATCTGTGCATTTCAAGCAACAGCCATAGACTAGAAGGACATAACAAATATCTCATGCATATTCATGATTGTGAGCCACATTCTAGCTGGTTCATTCTCCATCCCAGCAAGTTGTTGCTTTTTGCTGTTTATCTCCCACCCATGCAAGGATCCATGCACAGATCAAATACATGTATACAGTACACCTGTACATGTACAGTTAACTGTCACCCAGTTAAATAAGCCATTTGTGAGTTAAATTTGAATAAAATCTGGTACACTACTTTATATCATTGCACATAAATGAAACAATTTGAATTCCCCACACTAAAGACACTGTTGCTATACTTTGTGATACAGGGCAAGCTTTTGCATAGCGACCACCATCTCCGGAATGGACTGGTTCCTTTGTGCTTTTTTTTTCCATTGAAAACAGTGTATTGGTGCCAGGCTTCTCTGATGTAACTAAGCAAAAGCTTGCCCAAAGCCACGAGGGTTAGCTACAATATTTTCAAAACGGAGAATTCAAATTGTAATGTTCACATGAATTTAAAGAGCTCAATGTACCAGATTTTATTCAAATTTAACTCGCAAAAGGCTTATTGGGCAACAGTCCACTTTACACATACATGCGCCTCAAGTTCATGAAAAAATCATGGAACTGTTTCATATGGATAGCAAACATCCTAGCACACATGTAAATCTTTAAATCAGAGTTTTCCACTGACTGATGTCCTATCCACAAGGTATGGTTTAAAAAAATATAAAACAGCTTATTTTAGGCAGGTTTGCTTCCGCTACCTCTGGGAGTTGATACATGGACTATCCGCCCTTAAGCCACATTATATTTGTGTACTATAAAAAGGTTGGACAGCCAAGTTCCTAACACTGGACTATGCAATGTCTAAGTATCAACTTCCCAAACTTCCTGTAAACAAGTGCTTTGGACAGCTGAGGGGAATTATCAAGTGTTCTACTGAAAACAAACCAAGACCTGGCAAACTCAGCTTCGACTGATTCTACAACGCTCCATGCCATGAACAATTAAAATCTTGACAGTGCAGAACTACCAAGTGTTAGCCATTCATGAGCATCACTTCCCATTTCTAAATCCATGAGATTGAATCTAAACATAGTTTAGCCGTTTCAAGTCCTACACTAAAGAGGAAAAAATTAATTGCTCTAAAATGACTCACCTGGTCATCTTGCAACAGCAGCAAACTAACAAGAACTATGTTGATAGTGTTGCCCAATGTGGCATCCTTATACAAACTAGTCACCTGAAAAACAGAATGCAAAAATAATCATTTTAAAACTTTACTACTTGACTCTTATTGGTTGAAACCAAGGATGCGTAGAAGGCACTACAGATCACGAGCCAGAAGAGACCTGGAGAGAAAAATAACAGTATTATCTGATAGGGGAAGGAAGGCTCAGAAGGTTATACTGGAACAAAAACATGTTTGGACAGTCTGGCATCTTGGCAAGAAATGTTCATAAAAGCATTTACAGAAGGGTTCAGACTCAAACCACATCTAGCAAATAGGACTTTAAAATACTTGACTTTCAGCATTCCTGTTACATGTGTTTCTAGAATGCTTACAATATGAGGGGGTCTAAACAAATCTGATGAGACGCCATTCCGAGGGGCCATTTATACTCACGCAGCTGTCTTAACTTGAACGTGTGCGCACATCAGCAATTGACTACTGCCTATTGGTCAAGGAGAAACTTCATGCATGCGCACCACCTGCGTGCGAACAGGATGGCCCCAAAGTAATGGCTTCGAATAATGCTTCCAATAATGCTGCAACTTGTGTCAACACTGTGTCTGCCTTAAGGATTTGTTGACGGGAGATCTCTAAATAGGTTATGACACGGTAAAGCTGGAAAATTGAGAGAGATTAACCAAAACACTTATCATATCCTTCTTGGGGCGTGTTAAACTCAAAAACTGATACCATGCCAAAATGGAGACAAATTACAATGTGACAAGGACTACTTCCTGTCCTGTATTCATCCTGAGGTGGAAAATAAACTGGACATTCTTCCAGAATATGGAAAACATTGTACTTTTATTGTGGGGCTTTACATGTCACATTCCAAACTTTGATCCGCGACGTACAATATCTCTCTTCTAGTTGGTGACAAGATATTAAGTCTGGCCCGAATCATCAAATAATTAATCCGCATAAATCACAAGGTCTAGAATTCCGCCCCACCAAGACAGCTGAACAAGAATATTGTCCACTCAACATCCCATTGGATAAATCTTAGCGGTCAGAACTATTTTTAAAAGCTGTACTTTTATTCCGGGGGGACCATGTTCAATCATTTGATCCCTGATGTATAATATCACCCTTCTAAATTGTGACCAGAGATAACTTGTCCAACTCAATTCCAGCCCAATTATGGTATCAACAACTTAATCCACATCAATCTCATGCTCTCGAACAATTGCGCCCACTGGCCATTTCAAATAAAGCTGAACAACTTTGCCCTCAACTAAACATCCTACTGGTATTTGATAAATCTTGGGCAGTCGGAACTATTTCTCAATGAGCGGGCACTGTTGAAATCTGCTGGAAAAAGGGAGGGCGTGTTTTTTACATTGCAAAGATGGCTCTTTGGTGGGAACTCGGGGCATGCACGCACAAATTTTGGCATGTAGGCTTGGGATGTGCTGAGTATGCGTGGTCAACTTCTGTCTGAACAGACTGTCTTTGCACATGCCCCAGGCACACGGACAAGCCCAGATGAAGTTGAAGACCTTAGAAGACCTGGCTGTCTCATCTTTGCCAGTAAAGGGTGCACTTCAACTCTGCAATCTTGCCAGAAATGGACAAGATCTGTTTTATCACGGGGGGGTAACAAATGAAATCCAAGTTATCAGAAAAGTCTGAAAACTAGTCAAAACATGTATACTGACACCTGCAGGGGCAATACCACTGCCAGTATAATTTTTTTCTTGGGGGGGCGATTGGAAAGTATTTTATTAAAAGTTGCCCCTTTGGGGTAAAAAGTGAATACTAATTTGCGCATGAAGACAGCATGTTAATCAAACATGAAGCGTGGCCTGAAATTTAGGAAATAACCCCACCTCATCTGCCCTGGCTATGTAGCTCTAATAAAATGAATGCTAGGGGGGAGAGAGGAGGCAGACAGGAGAGGGCCTTTCCCAGAGTGCAAGACCATGCCTGTGTCCTGCATGACAAAAATCAGCTTGTCATTTTTTGCACCTGTTTCTAAGTGACATATGGCTGACCAGTTCATTACTGTGCATTGACTTTGTCCCCCCAACCAATTATTTGCAAACCTGTTCTGGTGATGTCAAGGACTCGGACTGTGTCAAGATTGTGTATTTCCTGTCGCACTTTCCAATTCAACCTGCTCAGATTTCGTCAAGAGTCAAACACGTGACATTCCAAAGCTTTCTTAATAAGTGCTGCTGTCACTTGCCATAATATTTGCGGGCAGTTATCGGTGATAGAGACAGGGTGTAAGTAATGATAAGCCAGTATTCTTTGATTGTGAAATACAAACACATCAGTTTATTCCTAGAAGTTACTTCACAAAATCTTGTTCCCTTGTCCTATACCCCAGCCACCAGTTGTTGTTACTGTGGAGTCCCAAATGGAAATCAGTTTGAACTGTTCACGTTTACCCTGGATAAAGACATGTAACAAATAGACGAAGTCCTGTATTGAAGAATCATGGATGGTGTAAGAATGGTGTAATCAGTTCCTGAAAGAAGTTTATTTTCCCAATATTAATTAACAGGCAACCAGAAGGTACACAACATGCATGCTAGAAACAACATAAAAAAGTAAGGTACTGTACTGTACTGGCACATGGAGCACTCCAAGCCAACTAGCATGGTATATGTTGAACTTTTGCATTCACGTTCACCACCGGGAATTTGGTATCCTTCTTCCTGGCCAGTCCAGCTATTTTGTGCTTCATGCGGATATCACATTGGTCATCTCAATGCAAGGGAGGCTGACGGCAATCCTTTGGGGCATCTGGCATACAGGGTACAGTTATTTTTATCTTAGAAAGGTTCATCCAAAGAAGGCCACCTACTTGTACTTGCATCATGAAAATACCTCTTGGTACAACCCTCCAGACTCAGTACACGCTTGTCATTCCTTACATTGTTATTTGTCTCTGTAAATCACTTATAAGTACAAGTATTCTCATATGCATACATCAACCGAATTTCCTGTTTTCCACATTCTTACTGATAGCAAGAATCAATTAAAAGCTTGCTCATTTGAGACACACCCCCCCAAACAAATCTGACCCCAATGAAGGGTGATATTTCTCCAAACTTTGATCAACACCATTCTTATATTTATATTCCTGCGGGACATTTCCTTTGTTCTTGTGTACTAAAACTTAGTGTGTGAAGTGCAATTTCCAACTTGCTCCCATTTGAACCTGGCTATCTTTCCTGGGTTGATATTTTGACCAAATGTCTCTTATATAAAATATTTCACTCTGTGACAACTACCGGTAAGTAGGCCTACACCTTGTAAATTTCTCCCTGAGTAAATGCACCCAAATCCATTTTGTGAAATTCTTGTGGGGGTATCATGGAATAACCCCACAAAGACAATGAATATTCCTTGTGGGGTGCTACTTCCTATTGTTCTGGCACCCTACAAGGCACCATAATCACACACAGGAATAGTTGGCAATGTGTCAGAGATATACACAAACAACCACTGTTGTGTACACATTTTTAAAAATGTGCTTTATCTGCCTAAAGCTCACTGTAACATGTACATATAAACATAGTTTCTCATACCGGATCTACCCCAGGTTGGTGAGAAATGAAACAGCCTCACAAGGCTTCCCTCCTTTGTTTTGTTAATACAATTTAATGCCCCATCCCTGTGGTCATGCTTTCATACATCATCACAATCCTGGCAAACCGCGGATGCCGGAGGCATAATATGTAATAGCACCTCAATTGTATAGGAAATACTGCAGTCCACCTCACAGCACTTGTCAGTTTAGTCCAATTAACGGCCCCTCACAGTAATTTGAAGCTATGTATACATGCACAGTATGTAGGAAATACAATAAGGAAATTCAGTGTCCACAACCAACAGGTTAAGAAAGACATTTCCTTAAAGACAGGCCTGTCTGGGGGAAACAATGCACCAGCAAAGTGGCAACTGTTTAGCTAATTAGGCTGAGATTGGCCGTGCCTACATCCACAGACATCCCATGACTATGATTAAACATGAATGAATCATGGACAAAAATGTGTAACGCAGAGGGAAGGCTGACATGTTACAAATTGCATTGAAGAGGGTGACAATATTCTTATGGCAACACTTTTTTCTAAAAAAAAATTAGGGTCAGGAAAAAAGGTGATGTTTTTATTCCATACCTCACTTTGAGCGTTAAACTAGTGCATGTACCGGGTACTATAATCCTGGCAAAACATTTTATGTGCTTAAATTGCTTTGCAAGACTATGCATATATTATTGTTTTCCTAATGGAGCTCTGATGCATTTCCTAACAGAACTAAACGTCATCTGCTTGAAAGAACAGTGTCGTCAAATTTACCGTACATCCCACTTTTGGGGGGGCGCGTAATCCTGAAGGGTTTTGAGTCATCACATCTGTTTCGAATAATACACTGCACACAAGTAGGAATGAATTTGATAGAAATATATCACACCAATATATACACAACGTACATGTGAAATGCATTAAACTGTTGACTCTTGCCAAAAAAAATCAGTTCAGATTTTTTTTAAACTTGACCTTTCTGACCAGCTTTTACCGCAAGACAAATGTTTTGATCAGTTCACAGGTAAAATCCAAACTGGTTTGCAGTGAAGCATGGTGACAGGGCTTTATCTGTCATCATTGAATGCTTAATCTCGTTAATAGGTTGACATCCACTATCAAAATTGCTCCGGGCACCTGCAGTTAAAGGTTGTGATACAGCAGCACCATGGGCTATGGGTTTAAGAGACTGCTCTACTTGCTATAGCCATCACTCAGCTACGGCTAGCGGCTAGAAACAACACAATCATCTTTGGGAAATCCATGAGCCTCCCAGCTCATGGCTTCCATGGGATACGTGTATGCATGTTATTTCCAGCCAGCAGCCTTAATTGCACTGACAACCAACCATTGTAACTCAGTTTTTGGTGGGCCATAATAAATCGACTGTGATGTGGAAAGAGAGAGGTTTACTCTGAATGCGCCCTGCGCCTTCTGCGAGCACATTCAGATGAAACTTATTCACGCCACCTT